ACAGCAAGGCAGTCAGGTGTCTCTTTTACAGCTGAGGCACTGGAGTGCTACTGAGTCCACACTAGAACCTTGAGCATATGGACATCATGCATTGGCGTGTTGGACATGTGACTGCACTGGCAGGAATCACAAGCTTCACCCCATCCCCTCAAAATTTCCCGCTATTCTGTTAGGCTTTGCTGCTTTCAGGCTGGAATGGCTGGGGGCGCCATGCAGACTGGATCGCAGGCGAGGCTCCTCTTCACGGGTCTCCGATCTGCCGGCCTACACATGAGTCGGAATATGTCGGAATGTCATGGTCGCGGCACCGAGAGGACGCACAGCATATCTCTAGTCCGAGATTCGAAAGCCGCGGCCATGAGCACTGAAGTGGCTGAATCTTGAACATCTCGTACTGGCTGGTTCAAGCTGTCCCATACCTCAGCATCTCTCGGATGGATGTCGTGGAGCCTTTACTGGGATCCGACTTGTAGCTCGGCGGGGTGAGTCGCGCGGCGCTCTGAGCCTCGGACCTCTGCCTCCACAGCAGACCAGACCTGTCATAGGGCACCCTTCGCACATCTTCCAACACGGTCATTTGACAACTCTTGGTTACCCAACGGTTGCTTCAAATCAGCCACAGAAAGCCGATTCCGTCTGCCATTCTGTGCCTCTCCAGCCCAAACATCTGAACTTTGAAGGCCTTGGGATCTCCTCCGCCCTCTTTAGCAATGCTGTGCAGGCTTTGCAAGGCCTGCAACGGACAAGTCAGAAGGCAAGCAAGAGACCTACCTGACATCCTGTGAGGCCTCCAAAGCCAGAGCAGAGCTCAGGGACGAGCGCAAGATCTCAGTTGTTATGACCAACCTCGCAAGAGTTTCTGCATTTGGGTAGGAGCTGTGGCCACGCCGGAGAGGGCTAATGGGATCAAGTTGAGGGGCCGCCGCATTATGAAGGAATGCACCTCACCGTGACGCTTGCTTCTGCTATGTTCTTCGAAACGGCTCGATATCTAAAATTGTTGAGCCTCCGGGCCCCAGTCACCTGCCATCAAGGAGTTCTGTAGACCAAAGCGTTGCCGCTTGCATCCGAAGCTCTGGAGCTCGACGCAACCGTCTGCGAAACTTTGGCAGCGGCACTTCTCTGTGAGAAGCTTATCCCTGCGACATCAAGGCCCATGAAATCCATGAACATCGCAAGTCTCAAGACTGCAGAAGCAGAAGATATCTATCCGTCGTTTTGGCCCCCTCTGGTCTAATTACACCATCTTGCAACTGAAATTTGCTGCGCATCTTACTAAGGACAATAAGGAACACTATTGGATAGAAGCCATGCTTCTCAGCAGTCAAAATACATGCAGCAGGCTCCGAAGTTTAGTGCCGAAGCTTTGCCAAAGACAAGTGCGGAGTCCTGTAGAGGAGTTTCTGACCTCACAGGCGTTGCAGCTGAGAGTTGACAGCCCCACTGAGTCCCCACAGTCCAAGTTCAAGTCAGCAGCATATCTCAGACCTGAATAAATAGTTAGGACACGGCAGGCTGAGTCTGGCACAAATCTTTGGAATCGCCCAATCTTGCTCGATTCGGTACTTTACATCTTTTACTGTTGACCTCAGATCTGCCGCCAGTCAAGCGGGACAGACTCTAACGGCAATGACAAAGTCGTGTGGCCAAGGCACTCAGGTGGTACTTCCAAGTCGAAGCTCTGCCCTGATAAGCTTCGAATCCGGCAGGCAAGCATGGGCACCAGTGCAGTTTCCTAGACCTGGGGTCTGAGGGTAGGGCTTAAGGGCTGTATGCTATGTTGTATGCAAGGAGCTGGTGGTGTACGTGCTCTGCAGTTGGTGTTTGAAGCCGCCAAGGCTGTAGTGGCCCTGGACTAGGAAATCCTGCAAGCCTGTGGCAGCGGTGGGTTGAACATGCTGCAGACGCTCCGAAACTGAGCCTAGAATAGAAGTGTTCTTCAGCCAGTCGACCGAAGCGACATGATGCTCTGCTGCTGCAGAGCAGACGGGAGTTTATAGCTAGTGCTGAGTGATCTCTGAGCCACACACTGTCCGGTGCCTCAGGGTTACGGTGAACTCATGCTCTTGACACTCAATTCCCCTCTGTCTGGTAGTACTGTCACCCAAATCTTGCCGCTGCTTTTCTAATCTGAACGCTGCACGCAGACGGCGATGCAGCTCCGAGCTGCACAAGTGCTAAAACTGCTAAGATGCGAGCCCATGCCGTGCCAAAGTTGTCAGCCCCGCAAGCCCATGTAGGCGCCGCAGGTCAACAACATGCCGCTGTGAATGAGGACTTGAAGGGATGGGCTTCATGAAAAGAATGTCGTGAGCCGCCTGCCCTGCTCAGCTGCTTAAGCTGTTGTTTGGCACATGCCGTCAGACAAGCAACCTCTGTGGCAGAACGCATCTGCTACTATTACTTCTTGACAGGCGCAATCAGCCCAAGGCTGCCTGATGAGGCAGCCTGACGCAAGTCACAAGGCACATGGAAGTTTGCCTGGCTTTCTTTGTAAAGCGTGCTGAGAAATGCTCTGAGTCTCTGAATTATCTACCAACTGGTACATAGCATTTTTGCTGTTGAGTCTGTGCCGTGATTCATGTCAGTTTTGTCTCGTGTGTCATTCTTATTTGGCATCCTGGTCTCCGCAAGAAAATCGCCAACGCACACGCGCGCGCACAAAAACACACATTTGTGGACCAGTCTAGGCGTACCTTCTTGCCTTCGTGCCATACCAAGAAAACTTGAAAACACAGGTTTGCCCTTTGGCCCGCTGTACTGAAAACTCCTGCCTTCTACTGGAAATCTGCAAACACTGCGGAAGCGAGCGTTCTGTTTGGAACAAAGTATGCTTTATGTTCTTTGTTAGTCAACAGCAGCCAGAGACTGAGTGCTCAAAATCACATTTGTTGGGACTAGTTGATGTTGCTGACGTTGAATCCCCACAAGTGCATGGATGATTCAGCTTGCACTGGATTCTCATGGTCCTTTTACCTACACCAGCTGGATTCCCTTTTCCTTCTTGCTCTCTCATGCAAAACATCGCAGAACATCATTAACTTGGAACTACACCGGCCGTTGGGCCTTCACTAAGGCTCACGGGCATCAAATCTACGGAGGCCGCACACGCAGAATGGCCGAGGCTGCACCAGCAAATGATATGGCAAGAGCTGTATCGCAACATGCCCAAATCGCAAAGGTGCGTTTGAACTGTGCCGCCACATGTCGGGACATCCCACTGACAGAAGGTTCGGATGCATGTTGGCCGGAGAGTTTACCAGTTTACCAGCGAACTGCCAAATAGCGGAGCAGTTGACCCCATGGGATCCCGCGCAACCACGCCAAGTGCCTCGTCATCTCCACACTTATTTCCCCCTGATTAGGAAAGTCCTCAGAAGAACAGAGTTGCGTAGCAACCACTGTAGCTCGTAGACTCCCTCTGCTCCCGTCCATCGCGGCAGTGGTGCTGGACAAGTACCGGTTGAAGTCTGTGTTTGAGCCTTGAGGGTCGAACCGCAAAAGCTGCGTGTTGCGGCTGGAAAGGGTCATCTGATAAACTTGAGAGATCAAGAAAGTGATCGTTTTGCCTGATGTTAGATCTACTCGGGCAAATTCGTCTCACTTCCGCTGGCCAAGTCACCTTGGTGTGGGCAAGTCAGGGGCATCAGGTGCCTACATGTTCGGCTCTTCTTCTCTGCTGGAAGCCTTGGGGCCTGAACGGAGGTGTCTGGCAGCCAAGGCTGCGATTCGCTGCGGTTGGTCGCCACGAAACTGCGTGATATTCCTGCGGCGAGGTCTCGGTTCCGCACGCGCCATGCTCAGAGCAAACTGGCAAAAAATGCGTAGCAAGTAGCAAATGCAAGCCATGGGATGTGAGAAAATGGAAGTCTGGCGTGAGCAATGCGAATGAATACTAGCCTTCCAGAGACAGGGTCGATGACGCCCCACTTGATCTCTAAGGGCCTAAGAAACTTAACAAGCCCGCAAGTGCGCATGAATTACAGTGCTTGGCCTTGGCCTGGGCCTCATCTATCCTCCCTCTTCATCTCATCGCCCGACTCAGCTCCCGGCCCTGCATCCCAAGGGTTACGCCTTGAAAGAAGCGTAGGAACACGTGCAACAAGATCTTCCTTGTGCAGTGTGATGTGCAGCATGCCTGCGCTGATTCCCTCAATGTCTAGAGACTAAAGGCATCAGCATTAGGCACGAGAGCCGGACAGATCTGCCCAAAGGCGGCCTTCAGGTGCTCCAGCCTCACTACAAGGGCTGCAGCGCCTAGGCCAATCTACCTTGAGGCAAAGCCTTCCCGAGCATTTTCAGGGTGTGTCGCAATGCTCGCGCCAGCCTTTGCCCTGTCTGCTTCTACAATCAATGCAGCTGCTTGCTTAGCAAGATTGAGCTGATCGTGCACAGGCCAATTCAATGTCCAGCTTCCAGTTCGATTTCTCGGCCAAGTGCCGGATTATGCAGTTTGAGGTTCGACTTTTGCAAGGATCTCTTGAAACACGGACCCCATTGAAGCTTTGAATTGCGCTGAGCGGGAAGCGAAGATAGCCAGTTCGACTGCAGCCGTCACCACGCCGTTCAGCTGAAGTCGGCGCACAGCATCTACGTCGAGCTGCTGCAAGCTGACCGTGGGTCGATTCAGGCAGGCAAGCTCCAAGAATTCTATGTCGGCATCGCTCAAAGGACTGACTTCAATTGCTTCACTCAAGGCTCGCTTGGCGCGCATCGCAGAGTGCCAGATACCATCTGCAAAGGCATTGTGCGGCCGATTGGAAGATGTCACCTGCAGCATGCTTTGCTCAACATGTCTACGTCTCATTGCAATCGGGACCATACAATGTCCGATCTGCTTGTGCAATGAGTGAACGGTGGAGCAGAAGCAATTAAGATCTCAACATTTGTGGGCCCTTGTGCTGGCCATCGCATGAAGCATTTCTGGCTTGAGCTCTGCCTAAAACAAGCCAAGACCTGTTGCGGAACCTTCTGCGAAAAGGCAGTGTGCCCCTTAAACTTGTTGAGTGACATTCATCCTATCTTCGAAGACCAGCCCGTCCTTCCCGACGGAACGCCGCACAAGCTGAACAACAGCCACAGCTGGGATACCAAGGAACAGGAACGGCTCCATCCCGTCCAAGTCATCCGTGGAGATTCGCCCTCAAAGGCAGCTAGGCCACAAGATGCTTATTGCTGAAGAACGACTCTTGTAGAGGAGTCTGTGGGGCTGGTGCTCTGGCATCCCTTCAGGAGGGCATCAAGACATTCAAGGGCTTCAAGCGGGGGCCTTGCGTGACGGGAGCCAGATCTGGCTGAGAAGACCCGCTTATGCTAATCACGACTGAATGTGGTTCTTCTCTTGCATGATTTGCGCGTTCCAGTCCTGAGGCATGCAGCTCAACGCCCAACGTGACCGCTCGGCGCAAGCAGGCCTCCCACACATCCTTCAGCAGAGCACTTCATGCGAGACTGTAAGCTGCATCAAAGAGAAGCTTCCAGAACTGTATCAACATCTGTACGTCTAGACACGTATTACTGCATATAATATTACGACGACTAGCACTACTATCACTATCAGAGGACTATTGTTCATAATAATACGAAGTACTAGTGAAGCAACAATACTAACACTGATAATGGGCCCACAGCCAGCCTTCATGCTGAACTCTCCTAACAGGTGCCGCCAGGTCAAAGAGGTCTGGGAGGTCGTTGGCTCGAAGGTAGGGCTGTCCTGTAATGGGGCCAGAATCATATTACTATGTTTATTATTCGTCCGCAATTAGACACGCGCATCGTACAGCAGTTCAGGCAAGGCAACAAACGTCCCGTCTGGTAGGCCCAGCCGCTTTGGCTGGTAGGTGAGGCGAGAACCAATCCATTGCAGACCACTACGCCACAGCATCACACGGCTCTTGCAAAAGCAATACGGTACAGCTGGTACATGACTAAAACAACTAGAACTGCTGCGCACTTCCCTCTGCTGCTTCCTCACGAAGCTCAGTCACACTCACCACACATCCATGCAGTCATTCCAGTTATTCCAGTTGTGCAATCACGCATATGCAGTGCCCACAGGACCAAGTGGCCCCTTTCATGCCAGCAGCCACACCAGCCAATTGACATTATACGACTCCACACCAGGCCAATTAGTATTCAGGCTTTTATTCACTTTTCATACTGGCGTTACTGTTATTCGTTGCTGCGATTGTTGTGCTGATTACTGATTCGTTTATTACTATACAGAAGACGGTTGGGGTCAGAAGCATACCGTATGTAAGGATAGAGGCAATGTTTGGTGTGATGCAGCGCCTCCTCCGATGGAGCTCCGAACATCGTCACTGGCTGTTCCACTGGGTCCTCATCTGCTGAATCCCACGCGTGGGAAGGTCTGCTCTGTGCCGGGTAGTTGCGCTTGAGTCGTCCTGAATCCCTTTAGTTAGTGGACCCATGGGTGTGAAAGGATCTATGTTGCTAGCTCCTGGCTCCCAATCTTTCGTGGCCACACCAAGTCAAAACTGCTGCTACGCTCAAGGAAATACGATTACATGTGCGCACATGTACACTTAGGGAGGGTTTGAATCCAAATTACCAAGCTGACATTGCAGATGAGAGGCTTCGCCATCGGAGAAGTCAAAGTTGCGATGGTATGCCCAGATGTCCTGGAAAGCTTTCCTCAGGAGTTCCTTGGCTGCAACTGTTGAGCTCTTCGTGGCAGCAGACTGAAAACTCTTCAGACTAGCGAAGGGCACTCTTTTGACCATCCCCTCGAGTACTGCAGATACTCATGTTAGCAGCACCGCTCTGTTGGGCACCTCACCCCGTTCTGGGAAAATGCAATGTCTAACTGGTCCGCCAAAATGCCATTACGCCAGACTCATCTTCATCATCTGCACAGACACCTGCGCCAACAAGCTTTGTGCATGGGAAGCCGGGAGATGTCTCAGTACAACCAACCTGCCTCCTACTAGCAGATGTCTGCAGCCGTACTCTGGGTAGAAAGCGGTGGCCATCGCGACCCAACCTTGTGCATTGAAACCTTTGATTATTTCATGACATCTTTCTATGTGCCAAAACCGACACGGCTTTGCATGCTGACGCCACACATTCCAGATCCGGACAGCATTGCCCGTCTTTTGGCCCATGAAAGTCAAATTTTCTGAACGGACAGGGTACGCGGAAAAGCGATGCTTTTGAAGCGATAGTCCGTGAGCCCCATGAGCTCAAACGCACGCAAAGAAGAACGCATGAACCGTACAGCTTAGACCCGCCCTTGGCACCATGCTGAAATGTTGCAAGGTCGGCCTGCTAGTCTCCTGATCTCTTGTACAGGCAATTTTCAGATGTCAGGTCGCTGGTCGTGACGAAGAGAATCACTGGCAATGACACCGTTAACATGAGCGGAGCCCGCAGCGGAAGAACCAGTAGCGACACGAGCGCTGCCTGAACACATTGCAGTCATTGCCACAGCCCTAGGGAGCACTCAAAGTTTACCTAGACTAAGAACACAGAACAAGTCAGGCTTCCCGGTGCTGAGGGGCGCAGCAGAATTTAGTGTGCAAAGCCTTGCAGCTTCGGCAGAACATCCGTGGAGTCCACACCAGTGCTGTAACAGCACATGCCACTGAGTAGGCGGGTGCCAAAACAATGCCAACAAGCACACCTCGAACCGCTCCCAGGACCTTGGACTTTATTGTTTTGTCTTGCTTCTTCCAGGCTTCTGGGGGCGGTTCCCATTCTCCATCCCCTTCCTTCTCGAAGATCTTAGGGCTGTGTGAGTCAGACATGGCCTCATTCTCATAAAGCAAGGGCTTTTTCAAAAATGTAGCCATTCGTCAAACTTGGCAAAGGATACAGGAACCGGGCAGGTTGGCTCGACTTAGCTTCTTCAAACGCTTCACACGTACGCTTTGCCGTATCTTTGCATCCCCGACAGCAAACATCTGCTACCCCGGCGGGGCACAAAACCTTGGCTGAATGTGCTTTGGCAATTTTATTGCCTCAGAGAAATGCGGCCACGAGCCTAGGCTTCATCATACCCCGATGCTTACACACTGGGCCATGCCTGAGCTGCTAGTGCAGCTGCTCCACAACTTGACTTAACAGACATTTCCCTCTTCAAGCTAGAAGCTCCCGGTAACAAATGAAGAAGTCTGCCGAGCCACGCCCCGAATGAGGAACACCGGAAGCAGGAGACAGTGGCTTGCTGATGCCACGCAGGAGTAGCAGCACAGGAAGCAGCAGCCTTATAGTCGCATTAAACGAGTACGACTGAGACTGCTGAGTACTGCGCTGCGCATACACCTGCACGCGTGCCCCAACCCAACTTACAAAATCGGCGACAGTATTGGCGACAATGCTTGTAACATCCGTCTCCCAGCTTGTCTAATTGCACCACAAGCTAATGGGTCAAACGAGCGTCAAATTGCCATCTCCCAGGAAGACCTGAGCTACGAGGCGTGCTGCATTGTCCTCTAGTCGCAGGCAGCTGAGTCTAGCCAAGGTGCTTCGGCGCCTCTATATTCATCACGGGCTGAAATGTGCCTAGGTATGCATCAGAACTCTACATATACAGATGTGGCAGCCCTGAACTGCTGACCCACAGGACATATGGAATTAATGTTGATCTCACATCAATCAGCCCCCGCGTAACTACATAATCCAAATCCGTGAATGTAATTGAAACCCCTTCGCCCTCCTCCAGCGATTGCAAAATCCAAAGCGCAGAAATTAGGACGTGCCAGCTACTGGCTTGTGCTGCTTGCTACCAAAGAATGCTCCTGGAGCTCGAGCTCATGGACCTGGATACCCGAAATTACGGAGGCTTGTATGGTCCGGATTCAAAAGGCAATTGCAACCTATTTAAGACAAGCCCCCCGCGTCAATTCCAGTCGCTTCCTTTTGAGCCTCTTTTCCTGAACTGTCTGGTGCACCCTGCCAAGTTGCCCGAGCTGTGCCAAGCCATTGGTCCAATCATTGCACGAGCAGCACCCGGGATGCCTTGGTGAAGCTCGTGGGAAAAGGCGCAGTTGGAGAAGGCCACCAGTCGTCCAGGCAAGGCTTCCACGACGTGCCTTTCGTCCCGGCTCTGAAGGATGAGCTGGGAACCAGCCCCTTTGAGCCACACAAGCACTGTGTGGCCGTGGACTTGGGAGTTGCGAAGCCCACGGAAGTGGTCGCGATGGCTGTCCACATCGCCCATGCTTATCATGGCCGGTACAGTCACATAGCCGCCCGACCGCAGGTCAACAGCACCTAACCCATGTGACAGGACAGCTCTCACCTCATTAGCAGTATGCCGTGGTATAGAAACCGATGTAGCAATTCCAGTCCCGCCATTGACGACCCCCTGAAGAGTGCCATCTTCAAAAGATGACAGCCCGCGGTGGCTCAGCTCGGCCAGTACTTCAGCCTACCAGGGGCCGTGTGCACATCACATGAAACGCCATCGATCAACATGCAAACTTCGCTACGTGAGTGCTTTTCAGCGCCTGCAAGTCAGAGTCCAGGAAATCATCTTTTATGATAAGATCAGGTACCTACCGGTGAGCTTGAGCTCGAACGACGCATCAAATGAGCAACAGCTCAGCAGACCCTGAACACGCCAACTGATCATGACCACCGCGAAAGCACAGTTGCAGCACGCATCTGCATGCCCTGAACTGTGTGCAGAGGCGATTCAAACACTAATGGCCTGCTCTGCTGCAGCCATTGCACGGTTGCAAATCTACAAGTGTTGTGAAGTGGAAAAGGGCTGGATACGGGAATGTGGAGACTGCATAAGGGAATGGTTTGTTGCATGCTTGCTTGTTCAAAAGGAAGCCTGCCCCGTTGCCTAGGTCATTGCGACATCTACAGCCGACGCTTGAAGCCCAGAACGATCCAAACTCATGCGCGCTGTCCAAATTGCAGGTATTGCAATGATCTAATGAGTCTTCCATGACCTTTGAATTTGACACTTATGCATACAGTCAGGCTCAGCTACTGCAGGGAAGAGGCAGCATGCAAATTTGCAGTTCCATTCCATGTCAGATTGCTTTTTTGTTGCGCGGCTGGTCACACGAGCTTCATGGAGTGAACGCAGTCAGCATGCCCAGTGAAATCCTGGACGAAGTGATCTTGCTTTGGGTCGAACAATGCCACCCTTCCGCTGAAGAAGGCCTGGGCTGATGCAGCGCTGGAGTTGTCACGACAAGCAGTGACGCAGTGACGCAGCATGTCTGAGATGAGTTGTTCGCAACAAGCATGCTGAGCAGCCAGAAGGATCTGTTGTCCTCCAGGAGCCCACTGAGCTGAGGTCACATAGCCATGCTCCTCCAATCATGCTCATCATCCAGCACCGCTCGGTTCACAAAACGAGGGAAGTCACGAGCAGCAGCAGTAGCAGCACGAGCAGCAGCAGTGGTGGCGAGCATGTCAGTCTGTGCAATGCTTGAATTTGATGACGCCATCTGTCCCAAGCCTGTCCTCGAAGAAGCCTTGTCTCGTAACGCAAAGGAAATGCACCAAAACATAGGCCCATACAGGCGTGCTTTGCAACCAATGTCGCCGAGCAGCTGCGCAAGCACTGCCCGCTCTTGCTGTTGAACAGCTTAGCATCCAAGTCACTGGAACCTAAGTCAGCAAGAATAAGAAAACTGGGTGTGGAGAACACTGCTCCGTAAGATGATGCTGCTGCAAGCCTGAGGTGCTGAGGTGCTGGCAGGTGAGCACAAGACTTCCATCAGCAGACATGCTGGCGCCAAGAACTGGTGCTGAATGCCCTCCGAAGCTTTGCAAGCCTCAGCGGGGCAAAGTGCAAAAAACACTTGTCAGCATCTATCGTGATCGTGAGCTGACTAAGTCCAATACATACTCCCGTTCTGGCATCAAACAGCTTTGCCGAGAAGTCTTGCGAAGCAGTCAGAACCTGGCTGGGCAGTCACAACTTCGGTAAACACGACGTCGTTGTAGACGACTGGCCAGACTTTCTGAAGCCTCCTTGGTCCTTGATCACCTCTACTCACTACTGTGAGCACCGCATGGAAGTTTAACATATGAATATAGATATACATATACATATAATATAAATAATTCAGTAATCATCCCAGAAACGGCTCATACATCGGAAGCGTAGCCGGCCTTGCCTGTGAAAGGTCCGGCGAGAAGTTTGCTGCGCACAGAGGCTTCGTGTGCCCTTCAAACGTGCTCAAGCACTTGCCGGACTTGGCGCAGAACCTTAGACACCACCCATGCCGCTACAGCATCCCAGGCTGTGCAAGTGGTAAGTTCCCAGAGAGAAAGAAGGCGACACATGAGCTCGATATTATGCGCACATCTGCGCGTGGCAGGTTCCTGTCCGGAGAAAATTCAACTTCATTCCGGGAGCAACGCCGTTCCTTCCAAGCGGCAGCTTTGCAGTACCGTCTTTGGAAGCTGTCAGGATCAGGGTGCCGTCCGGTGACATGGACGCGCAGCGGAGCACATCGGAATGTCCGACCTCATAGAACAGCTTCTTTCATTGTGATGGGTTCAAACAAGCTCAGAATAGTGGATGGGCATTCAAGTTAAATCGCCGAGGCATAGGGTTTGAGTAAACACCAATGCATGTCTCTACAACAAAACGGATCTTGATTGCGCAAATCTTGCCCCAGAATTGCCAACAAATCACGCAGGAGCAAATTCGCTCACCGGTGCTGCGATCGTACAAGTCAGCCGAGCCGTCCTCATATATGAGTCGACCGCTTGCGCAGAGTTTGATGCAGAAATCAACCGTGGCCTAAGCACAATGAGCTGGACATCTTCTCGACTGACAAGGTTCAAAGATGCTGACCAGAACCTTGCCGGCATCTGGGGAGAAAGAAGCGGCCGTCATACCCAGGCTCCTTCCTCAATCTTGATTTTGGACCCCATGGCAGGCTTTTGTGAACTCCGTTGCTGAGATTTCTCGCTACCCCGCCGTTCACGCGCCTCGCGAATACATAATGTTTGAGTACACGCACCTTTGTGCTGCTCAAGCTCCACTTGGTGATCTTGCTTTGCTCTCAAAGGTGATGAGGCAGCGGCCGGACTCCACCTGCTTGGAAGAAACAGGCATATCTTCGTGTCAGGAGTGAGATCAACAATAAAGCAGTGAAAAATGCCCACAACAAAATCAAGGGAAGGGCTCGCGCCAGTATCAATAAATGGCTTGCGGTTGCACACTTAGGATAATCTGCAGGAATCCTTTTCACAGTTCTGTATGAGCTGCTCAACCATCAACCAACCAATATCATCAATATCCCAAGCCACATCGAAGAGTCGGGCGAAACCTTCCACCGAGGCTGTTAGCAGTGCTTTGCCGCCAGGAGAGAACACCTTAGGGGGGTCTGATTGGGGCTGGCTTCAGAAAGTCTGGGAGGCAGTTCATAAAGTTTTTGCATAGCTACCGGCTTCGCATAGCTACCGGCTTCTTTTTTTTGCATCCAGGCCCTTTAGATAGCGCTACGTCGTGAACCAAGCACTCAGGCAGAAGTACCCTAACTGCCCCCGGCACCTACACAGTTGTACAGCATGTCTACTCAGCCAGGATGTTGTTCCAAATCTGGGTTAAGCAGCACCACTGCTCTGTGCGGTTTCTGAGTGCTTCCTGGCCTACGCAACAGTCTCTCGCAGCTGTTTCGGGGAGAAACAGAACACTTGAGATGCGGAGCAAGGTTTTGAGCTGGCGCCAACTGGCTCTAGAAGTCTTGCAGGGCTGACGAACTGTTTTGCTTAGCCACGCCTTTCATTACCACCATGGGAGGACGTAAGTTATTTTCGTCAGCGGACTCGTTCTGTAATGCACAAAGGCTGACTAGCCGGCTGGCGCTTTTCTAGGACTGCAGACTGAAGGACGCATTGCTGCCCGCAGGTTCAACATTTTGTTCGCTGTTGAATGCTGCCCGCTTAGCATTCAAAAGAAAGCTACTTGAATGCAACTGAGTAGCAGCAGTGCAGACGTAGTACCTGCAGCACTTTAGGTGGCACCAGCCCGGTCTCTCCAGGATTCCCACGAAGGGCATGCCTTTGGAAGAAGGTCTACTTAAGTCGCAAACCTCATGGCAGGAAGTCAACTATCAACCCTTCGTAACCTACCATTTCTGATTAATAATCATCCGGACATAATCGGAAAATCATAAAGCCTGGGGGGCATTTGGGGGATTTTCGGCTTTTGCTGCTTCTTACGGAGCGTTACGGAGCATGTGAGGCAGGCGGCCGTTCCTCAGCATGTGTGAGCAAGGCATGCATGCTTCGTTGTAGCAAGCAGCGCATGGTGTGTGAGGTTGGTCATGACTTGGCCAGTGTCGGCATCTAGCAGCCCGACCACAGAGTGCGAGTCCATGACCTCAGCGATAAGGTCGCACCCACCTCTGGCTGGCTAAGTTGATCCCCGATTCGCCCTCTTCCAGCACTTCCGACAAGTTCCGTTGGTGCATCAGAAAGGAATGGATGCAGGGCACGAGACCTCTGAAATTGTTTGACGCTATTCACCTATTTGACCAGGCTGCCAGGACTCGCCGTCCATCGGCTGCGAGGCATGCGTCCTGCATCTTGTGTGGCAAGACACTCAAGCAAAACCAAATTCAAACGCTGCTTTACTGTTTGCTGGTCACCAATTCACCAATGGTTCAGGGCGACAACTGGACTTCTTGTTGGCTGAAGCCGGCCCTGTCACCACAGTCCTGCACCGGACCTAGCAGGCGCCATAGCTGTGCCTTGCGAAAGCTGGAAAGAAGTGACAGAAACTCAGCACGTGTTGCCACGACGGCTTTCTGTGCACACTCGGTAACATTCAGACTTTGAGACCAAGCATTGCTATAGAGAAGCCGTAATTGGTTTGCCCTCTGCGGCCTGAATGCTGGAGATAGACCCTCAGGTCCGAATCCACTACAGTACGATCGGAATAGGGAAGCCTAGAAAGGCGTGGCCAAGTCATGGGGAGTCAACCTTCAATGGCTTGAGCATTAACACAATCAACAGCGTGACGGGATGCCCCCAGAGCTGTCTCGTACAGCGCAATAGAGCGCGTCGCAGTCATTGTGAGCGCTCGACTTCCATCGTCAGAGAAAGTTACAGAAATCACAGCGCCGCAGTGCCTCAGTGAGCAAAGCAAGTGCCATTTCGTCCAATGCATGACATTAGTGACATGCCTCAGCCATCCTCAGCCTGCATGCAGGCTTCTGGTCTGCTTAGCACCGTTACTAGACTACAGTAGACATGAATCGACTAAGCAGAAAAACTCGCGAAGTGCCGCCCTCGTTGCCCTCCAAGAATGCAGAGCGTCTTCCCAGTTTGCAGCTCAAAGATTCGTGCCGTTCCGTCCTGGCAGGCGCGGTTTTCTTGGCTGAAGATGAACCCGGCTTCTCAGGCACGAGTTGGTGGTCTGTTGGCGATTAGCTAGCTCGTCTATCAGAGTAAGGATACCAGAAAACATGCACATCTGCACAAGCAAAAGACTTGAAGCTCAGTGAGGTTGAAGCAAACAAACACTTGTTGCAGTTTGCAGCTTTTCTGGGGCTATACATTTGGTGTCGGCTTGACCGAAAGACCCAATAATTACATAAATCGAACGCCGAATGACGTAGGGTGTGAGAAAGGTACCCATTGGGCGTCTATGCGATCAACTTCAAAATCATCGAACTCAAGATCAAGGAACCTTAGGGTCCCTGCTGAACATGCAATTACTTAGCAAGGGCCGGCCTCCGAGGCTGTGCACAACTTCTGCGGAGGCAATCGAATCAGGGTCAGCAAGGCGCCCTCGTGGAGACCAACGTCACCTGCATTGGCCACAACTTCTCTCATTGACAAACTGCGAGGCAGGCAAACATCCGCCTGATACGTCTGTTGCTAGCAACTCCCTCTCGCCGAACATCAGCGCGGAGCGTGGGAAGGAGCTGCGCAGCTCCCCATCAATCTCCTGAGGCCGCTCTTGCGCGGGAAACATCTTCAGTTTGAGCATCGAACCACGATCTACGCATACTAAATGGTCAAGCTTGCTGTCCTTTTAAAGTCTACAGGCTGGCTTGTTCTTACTCTGCGAATGCCTGGCAAGGCGAACTTTAGCCATAGACTTCTCAGCATTGCCCTTCTCCCCTTCTCTCTCACCCTCGTCCCTCCATATCCCTCCACAGCTCCAGGCCTCCACTTGCCGCCGGATCTCGGCAACCGTATCCTGAGATTGAAGGCCCGTCAACACATGTCAAGTGAAGGAGCATGCAAAATGCATAAGAACAAGTTGATTCCATGGCGGCGTTTCCAATAAAACTCTGAGTCAAACCAGGTCAAGCTGAAGGCCATAGCTGGCATGCTTTCGGCTTAACGAAAAATCGAAACTTGGCTGCTTGGCGCTGGTCGTTGCAAGGGCCACCTTCCCGCATGCGGCCAAGTGTCTGCTGCAGTAAGCTGAACGGTTGCCAGCCTGTGCAAGGTCAGGGGCGTGGGTGGTGGGATGACATGAAAGCCCCGAAGCTAGCGAAAGCTCAAAGATGGCTGATGGTGCTGGATGCGATGTCGGCTTTGCAACTATCATCACAGGGGTTATATGGCAGCTGCTATGTCAGGTTGCCTTGCATCTGTGCCGCACGACCTCGATTCTAGTACCAACCCGGCCCCAGAGGTGCAAGCAAGGCTCGTTTGACCTGAAAGCAGCTTTACCTGCACCGAGAAGGTTCCCTCGGCTCGTGGACTTCGGGAGCCTTGGGAGTGCAAGGGAACCGTGTGTGGGTGGACAGGCTACGCTACGGTTGTTTCCTACTTGCACCCACTTCTCCTGTTGGAAGAAGCCATGATGTGTGGTGGTTTCTTACAACGGTAGGTCTGAATGAAGCTCAGCTATCAGCAGCCCGGCCATTCCATCCCTACTCCCCTCATGCCCCTTCACCATCACAGTTCGCTGCGTACTTTCTTAATGCTCTGGGCCACGACTTCGCGAGTTGCGCGACATGATGGCACTGATGGCACACCTACTTGCGCTGCGCGCTGCTCCTTAAGTCTACTTGTGTACTCATTTGCTATGTCTGCTATGTCAGCAGTAGGGGTGGGTTGGAGCTGGGCCAGCTGCTGTTTGCAAATTGGAGTTCAGGTCCGCAGTAAGATGTTGGACCAGGACTGCACTGCAACAGGGCTAGCTAATCAACTCTCCTGCTTTGATCCAACGGCTGTTTGTTGAAAAAGCAAGCTGAGATTACAAAGCTTTGCAAACTGTCGGGACGGACATGGCCACTGTGCAACCTTCACATCTCAGCCATAGCCTGACGTGCGCTTACGGCATTTTTTTTGCTACACGATTACAGCGCTCTAGCACATGGGGAAAAGCAAATCTAGCGGCAACCTCTGTGCCTTGCTTTCGGCATCCATGCATCATAGCGGACATCTCTTGACATCCAGGCTTTACCGTCGGCAAAGCAGCGAAGGCCCAGCACCTGGCAGGTTGTGCACAGCACTCCACGTGTCAACTTGGACGGATGTCTGGAGTTTTTCCTGCAGAACTGCTAAGCTGCTATCAAGAGTGGAAGGGCATAGGTTGCGCAAGAGCGCAAGTCATAGCCAAGCTTCACTGCATCCGCAACTGCTCACAGCGTGTCCCATCTTTTTGTTGCTTTGCAGCAGGCCACGTTAACAGTACTTTCAAAACTGCTCAGGGCGTTCACGCTGCTGTCGTTTCCACGACCTTAGTCTCAAGGCAAAAGAAGGGAAAGCTGCCATGAAGGCATAATCTTGACAAAGAAGTCCCACTAAGTCATGCTGATGCCACAGCGTCACCTTCATCTCCTCCTTGTTTTCCTCTGTACCCTCTGGGGCCGGCTGGTCCCGGAGAATCATGACCTCGCTGGGCAGTGAGGACCGCAAGGCTTCGCAAGGTTTCGGACTTTAGGATGCCAGAGATGACAATTCCGCCCCTTGAGTTGGTCCAGGACACGTTTCCGTCTGCGTTGACATCCATGCGGATGTGTTCGCCTTCCCGTGTTGGCTCCTTGAGGAAGGACTCTGCCAACTCGTCCTGCGAGCTCATTGGCTCGGCTGTCCGGAAAGCAGAAAGCTCGTGACTTAGTGCAGGCCTTACGGCCTTACATGCTCTAAGCGATGTGCAGCACATTAAAGGCCAAGTCTGTAGAACAGCTCCTCCACCAAGCGCATGATTGCTCGCCGAAGCGGTCTAGCACCGTAAGTTGGGTTGAAGCCTTCGTCAACCACCTGCTGGAGGATGTTGCTTTGTTCAGGCTGCGTGTGCAGTCTGTCTCAAGAGCATCTTCTGAAAGATGGTCAGATACGGCCAAAAGACTGAACTCATCCTGCCTTCTGCTTGAACTTGTCTGTCATGCTGAGAACGATGCCTTCCGAGGCACTGCATGCTGCTAAGCCGCGCATACCCCGCCCCATGCACTATGAAGGTACAGCCCACTCTGCGAACAAGTCTACCTATGTTCAAAGCACAACTGTCTCCTACTAGTCAGCTCCACTCACTCACAACCAAACGTTTAAATCAATGCTACAGCGCGATGACCACCATGCGTATCCTGCTACTGGCTACCAAGGGGAATTCGGCACTTCAGGTTGCCCTGCTGACCTCGCTCCTTTGTTCGGCTGAAGGTCTTCTTAAACCTCAGCCAAATGACAAAGGGGCTCACTCATCAAACCTTGTCAGATGGCAGAGACCGTCCGCTTAGAAATGGGGCTTACTGTTCAGCAGGCCAGCTTATCAGTACCAAGGAACTCCAGCTCGGCGATTTGGGCAACCTCTGGCTTTGTAAGTGATCTGAAGACAATGACCTGCGCTGCTGTCTTCCAACTGGGCAGGAGGTTGTCGCATGACAAAGCTTCTTCCTAGTCGTGGCATGGCAGTGTGAGCAGTTGAGGTTGCAGGCGTCGGCATCGTCGTCGTCGCACTTGTAGCAGTACTTGTGCTAATACTTGCAACGTGCAACAGCAATCCTCCTCCTACTACTGCCGCAACTACTGCCACCACTACTACTACTACTACTACTCCTCCTCCTCCTCCTCTGCTGCTGCGTCTGCTGCCGCTGCCGCCTCATCCCCTACTTCTTCTGCTACTACAGGTGCTACTACAAGTGCTGCGACTGCGGCTGATAATACTACTACTACTACTACCACAACAACAAATATTAACACAAACAATACAAATGCTGAACAGCAACATTTGCTGCTTGCAATCGCCAACGCGCGTGTGCAAAAGCAGTTGCCTACGCCTAAGCCTTTCAAAGTATTCAAAGTGCAAACGAGACTGCAGGCTCGCAAAGCGCATGGCGCTGCCTCATCCAGTCGGTTGAGGAATTCTGGCTTGAAGAAATTCTTGAGCCTGGCTTGCAGTTTGTGGCTGTATCACATGAATTACGAAATTATATTGCAAAACGACTAGCCGCGGTATTGAGTCAACAGCAAGATTGCAATTGCAAACATGTCTGTGCTCAAAGCCAGGCAGCTCGTCGAAGACTAAGGTCTTTAAGCGGTTGTAGCTCGAAGTCTCTGCATCCTCTGCATCCTGCTGCTGCTGCGGCCGCTGACTGTTCAATAAATGCGGTAAGATACCACCAGTTTTACTGTCAAACGCCCCCAGCATTAGTAACTCATGAGCAAAGAACTGCAGGAACGCAGCTCAGTCTAATTCACATCAGCCTTTCAGCATACCCATCATATAAAGTACAGATCGAGCTATCTCTGCTTCCCTGTCCTCCAGACCGCTAAAGCCTATGCCGCCGCCGCCCTGGATACCCTTCTCGATTGCCTTGGCCCCGACGTTTGAGGTCCTGAATCGCGAAAGGACTATCAGCGCACACCACGTGTAGAGTAGATTTGCATCACAGCATCAAAGACAAGTATTTGTAGTCTTCAAAATTGTGTTTTCCAGGCCCAGTCAATACCCGTTTGTTTTGCAACCAAGCAGCCCTGAAAACAAGACGTGAACGGACTTGCACTGGCAACAATGCTAGAACATAGTTTGAGTGCCAGACTAGATTGTAACTCCAAAGCTGCAAGGCTTGCCAAGGGTCATGATGATCAGTGCATTCTTGAAGGAGACCACTCGTCCCTTGGAATCTGTCAGACGGCCATCCTCACAGCACATGAGGGTTTCCGGCAGCTTGCCATACGATATTCAATAATTCGGGCACACTTCAAATTTTGATGCGTCGGTAATCTGCAGTAGGCTTTGTCATCCCAACATATCCCAACCATCACCTGAATACGGCAATTGCTTTTCTACACCTTCTGCGCTCGGCAGGCCTCCAAAATCTGCAGCATGAGGTTGAAGACGTCGGGGTGGGCCTTCTCTACCTCATCGAAGAGCACCAAGCCTTGGCCGGTGAAAGAACCACAAATGAGATGTAAACACACAGGAGTATCACGAGTATTTGCATTAAAAGAGCAGGAGTAAGAGGTTTACTTCAGAGAAACAGTAACAGTACAGGACACAACGAGGCTTGCCCTGTTGCATGAAAAAGAGAGACCTGCTCATGCTCTGAGTCCGGCAGTTCACGGCACCCTCGCATCAGCTCGTGTGTGGAGAGCGTGTCAAGTGAGCCAAGGAGCTGTAGGGCTTTCGGCGGATCCCGTCAGTCAGTTGGCTCTCCTCATCGTAGCCGACATAGCCTGGGGGACTGCCGATGAGCTTGGAGACAGTATGGCGCTCCATGAACTCGGACATGTCCAGGCGAATCATGGCATCCTCCCCAAGCACGGAGGTTCGAGACAAGAAGCGGGCTACCCTTTTGCTTGTCTTGACTCTGAAAAGTCCTCCTTGCCGAAGTAAGCGGCCGCCAACGCCTTGCAAAGCTCTGTCTTGCCAACTCCTGTCAGGGCGTGTGGCTTGCAGCTACCGCCCCGGAGTGAGCAGCGGGGGGCTTGCAGACATGTAATGTCATGCAATTTATGACCTGTCGGACCGCAGAAAATGAAGGACGCAATTGGCCGATTGGGGTTCCTTGCGGGAATGCGCATGGCCGCTCAAATTGGCAAATGGAGGCGGAGCAAGCGTGAGGGCAGTTTGCATGCCCTGGGCCCCTGAATTGAGCCCAGCATCTTCAGCCCAGCCCGTGCACGTCGGACGGCTTTGGACACGGCAGTGACTGCCTCCCACATTCAGCAGCCCAAATTGAGCAAAGCACATGCCAAATCGATGAAAGATTAACTAACAATGGCAGCAATGCCCACCTCGTTCTGCCCAATCACACGGCTGTGGAGGACCTCAGTGTTCAATCCGATTCGCTCATTCACAATGGGTGTCTTGCCGGTCCAGGAAAACCGCTTACACCTCGCCTCCTCGAGCTTGACCAGGCGAGCTCCCTCGTCTGAGGAAACCTAGCGGCAGCACGTCTTGACAAAGTTGGTAAGCTTCAAATTGGATTTTCACGCACAGCCCTGTTGTCTTCTAGTCAGTGCCTTCTCAACAGGCACACCAGTCCACTTGGAAACCACGGCTGCCACATCAGCCTTGCAAACTGCGAGAATCAAACTTGAAATTCCAGCTTGCCGCGTGTTCCTGAGCCAATCATGTTGATATCAGCTAACATCACATCTGTTCTGCTCGCCTCGGTGACCAGAATCTCCTTTCCTGTCTTCTCCTCACCGTCGGCCTTGCAACACAGGGTTACTCCCCGACTTAGTTCCAATGAATTTCACACATGTTCACAACAACCGCATGCGAAGTGGTGTCAGTGTCTGCTTCTGTTTGCAGACCTGCTTAAGATGTCAGTATGGTCGCCACCTCTTCCTCATCTTCATCTGTTTCCAACGCGGACTTGGACTCGCTGATGATGCTCTTGATTTTGGCGCGCAAGGTTGTCTCCTCACTCGCATCTTGATGCAATGGCATTGGCTGCCGTGTCATCTGCAAGACCGTGCTCTCTCTTACGTGTTGTTTTCGTGCACGTGTCCTCAGTCTTGAGCTCTTGGGCAAGCTCGTAGTTCTGATTGCGGACTGCTTCCTCCTGGCATGAAATGCACGCAGTCGGTCCTCACTGCAAGCATCCTGATATGGATTGAATGCTCCACACAAACACCTTGACATCTGGGGTCCGGCGCGCTTGCCACTAGTCACCACTTTGTTTGCAAAGTTCAGGAAGGAATTCAACAATTCTCAGCTGCAAGGCTCCTTGCTGGTCATGACCTCTTTCAGCTTGTTCTGCGCTTCCTTCGCCTCCTCAGGGAGGATGGAAGACTCGCGCAGGCGTACTCGTGCACCAGTCTCATCCAGTACATCGATGGCCTGGGGAGCACTGCATGAGCATCAAGCACCCTGCAAGCCGCCCTCCACGCCTTGTCCGGCAGGAATCGATCCTGAATGTACTGCGAAGCAAACTTCACACAGGCTGCCAAGGCTTCATCCGTGTACTTGAGCTTGTGGTGTTCCTGAAAGCGGGGTAGTCAACACAAAGCTTGACACAGAACGCAGTCCCCGCCTCATACTTTTTGGCCAAGCCCTTCAAGATCGTGAGTGTCTCTTCGTTGGTTGGCTCAGGGACATTCACAGGCTGGAAACCTGGAACCAAGTCCAGTAAGGTGACGCGGGCATCCACCAGCAGCTGCCACGCAAAAATTAGTATGTATGTGGACCAAGCGTCGTCGCTCAAGAGCCTTGTCTTTCTCAATATACTTCCTGTACTCTTCTATGGTTGTGGCGCCAATGACCTCACGCCATTGGAGACTTGTTTTTTCATGGACACATGCTGCAAGGAAGCCCAAGAACGCAACCTGAAGTTCTCCACGAGACAAGGCCGGCTTCCTGAAATGTTTCAGCAACACTGTGAAGCACATGGAGGCACACCCGCTTCTGTTCAAGCCTGGTGCTCAAGAACTCAAAGCTATGCCGCAGTCTGTTGTTGCAAACGTTGCTCCGTGACTATCTGCTCACTAGCGGCTAGCCCTGTGCTGCTGAGCATCATGATGTTGCCAGCATCAATGGCGCCGCCGCCGTCACCTGTTCCTCCAGCTCCAACGATGGTGTGGATCTCATCCTGTCATCGGAGCAGTTTAGGCAGGGTGTGCAAAAGCCACCCTTCTGCATGTCAATGTCTGCATTAGCTTTCAAAAAGTCTCAAGCTAAGCGACAATCATCAGGATGATTTGCTTCTTCGAGTCGAGTACCTCCTTGATGACCTTGGCTGACTGCTACTTGCCACTCTGTGCAATCCGGCAAGCCGACGCCAAGGTTGTGTTGTGACGTGTGTGGTGAACACGGGCAGCACACGCGAAAGCATACACCAGGCTGGTAGCACAAAGCCATGCGATTCAGTCAAGGACGTGCGTGTCAGCGCACTGCACAACAGCAAATGATCAGGTTTAAGCAGCACTGTCTGAGGAAGTTGCATTCTTCAGGCGCTCTTCGAACTCTCCGCGGTATCGGGTTCCAGCCAGCAGCATTGCCAAATCCAGCTGGACGATGCGCTTGCCTGACCGTGAAAGGGGGCAGACATGGATTTCGCCGCAGGCCGTGTTCTGCGGCCAGTTCCCTGTCTGGAAGGCTTCAGTAAAGCCCCTCTTGCATACCTTGAGGTTTGACCTTCAACATATGGCTAGAAGTGTTCAAGAACATCAGAACCAGCAGGCCTTGCAGGAGTTCGGGTATGTCACCCGCCACGATCTTTTGAGCCAAGCCCTCAGCAATCGCTGTCTTGCCCACCCCGGGCTCACCAATGAGCACCTGGCTCCGAAAACAGGTAGGGGTGCAGGTTGGTGGTAGATCTAGGCACTGCTTTCTGCTAGGCTCTGTCAATGGCTTGCTTTGAATCAGCCAGGCAGCTGGGTTGTTCTTCTGTCTTCGTGCAAGGATCTGGATGGTGCGTTCGAGCTCGGCCTGGGCAAAGATGGCAGTCTGAAACGCTCAAAAACAAAGGGCAGCCAATGGACCTTTGTCAACTACTACACTCAGCACTCTGTTTCTTTGCAGCTGGCACTTCGGCCGACGAGGGGGTCCATCTTGCCCTCTTCTGCTGCCTGCGCCCGGCACCCAAGTGACAAATATGTGCTAAAAGGAACTGAAGCAAGTTTGGCCTTAGTCAGGTCGTTGCCGAACTCTTCTAAGGTCACCTGCCATAAGCAAGTCAAGATGCCATCGGGCCATCAAGCTGAGGCGACGCGCTTAGAAGTCTACAAGTGGCTGTAATGCTAATTGCTATGCGCATCGGCCACAATATTAACAGTGATGATTGAGAGAAGTCATCGCACAAGGATCTTGGCCTGAACGGAGCCTTCTGCATAGAAATGAAACACAACCGAAGAACGCCACGGGAATCAAAGTATTTAAAGCCGAGAGCACTGTCTTCCCAGAGCCACCACCACGGGAGGTCACGCCAACCAGGCTTCGCTCCTCCTTCTCCGCGAGCTCCTGCGGACTTCTTTGACATTCACTTCTTTCACCAGCTGGCTAAGGACGGGGGAATGACACAAAGTAGGGGCCCTTCTATGGTCACCCACAGGACCAGAATCTCCCAGCTTGCAAAAGTGCTCGTTTGAAAACTGTTCATGCCTGCCGGCCAGAGAAAGTTTCTGGACTCGAAGTCTGATGTTGGACAGTTAGGCAAACGGATTATGGCTAAGGGCTCGGGTCGGGAGTCGTCCAAACCTCCTGCAAGAGCACACACAACGTTTACTCTTACTGAAACAATTGGTGTGTTCTGCTCATCCTTTGTCGTGGTGTAATGTCACAAAGGCCTTTCATATTCATGGTCTGATTTCTCTCGTTTAGGGTTGCTGCTCTGAGTTATAGGCATTGTTGCTTTGCATCCAAGATTGCCACCGGCACACTTGGAGGCTTGCTCGCGGAAGCTCCTTGATGATCTCTTCTGGCATCTTGCTTGGATCGACACCCAACTTCTCCAAAATCTTGACAGCATTGCCGTTATCCTGAGGTGGGTACTGGCGCTGTGATTCTGGGGAAGCAGCATGTCAGTCGAAGTAGGCAGAAGCCTGCGAACCATGCGCGCCTCTTTGAGGAGGGCGAGCAAGATGTGAGCAGTGTCAATCGTGTTTGCATTCAGCCGCTTTGCCTCTTCAACCTTTGCCAGAACTGTTGGACACCACAGCCATGAAAGGAGAAGCGCGTGAGCGCGGAAAGAGAACTCATGCAAGCTGCTCCGTCGCCCAGAACGCGCTTGGCCGCCGGAGTGAACGGGATCCTGGGAGGGTCAGATTGGAGCTTGCACTTGGACGTCAGAAGGCAACATGATTAGTCAAAGGAACTCGACGGACACCATGCCGCTACCACGTCCGACTGTCTCTTCGACAGTTTTCCGGGTGTCCTCAGGGAGCATGCCCGGACGCTGTTGCTTTCTGCCTCAAGTGTCCGGGCAGCGGCTCCTTGAGAGTCACGTTGAACTTCTTCAAAACCTTTGCCGAAGGACCAGAGGTGTCCTCAGCTGAAGTTCAAGCAGCATTGACATTCAGCACCTGGTCGGACAAAATTGGCAAACAAGCGGCAGCGACAACGCCGACCAAAAGCATCTCTGTGCCGACGTAGTTGTGACCTAACCGCCTGGACTCCTGGCATTGAGGCACGCAAGCGCGCTTAGGCATCAATTCAAGCCACGGAGGCTACTTGACGGGTGATTCCCCTCCTCCTGCGCAGTCATCACCGCCTTAATGGCCTTCTCGTTGAAGCGCTCAAACATCCTGAAGCACTGCATTTTTGCAAGCAGTTCGCATTTGACCTGACCTTGTTCGAGAAAGGATTGTATACGAGCATCATTTTCATGGAGGCAAGGCCAGAGCCGCTGTTCGAAGGCGCTGGCATGACTGGCCTTTGCATTTATGCTGCTTCAAAGTGGTTTTCTGCCTATGTGCCACATGATGACCTCATGTCTTCATGTTTTCTGACTGAAGAATCAGCTTGGACAAGGCGCCCGGTGACGGACCCTGCCATTGAGCTTCCCAGAAAAGAGGAGCCGCTGGAAGAGATGCCTGAGCTGTATGATCACGTCTGAGGAATTTGGAGATTTTAGGAAGCTTCAAGCTTACCGGGGGTTGGGTTGTAGCAGTGTATGGGCTGCAGTCCTGGGACACTTGAAGTTAAATGAACATATAGTCCCCGAGCATGCTGATCCTGGAACTTGTCAACCGGAGACCCAACAACTCAATTATGCCCAGGCTGCTTCCAGAAGAGCCCGAGCTCCAGGCACCGGCGCGAACCACAGTCTTCTTTGGTGCTGTCTTGGCTCCACGCACCTCAGGCTCCAGGAAGCGAGAACCGGGCCACAGTGAGTTCTGGCCTTTTGAGGCCGAGTTGCTGGGATAGCCGCAGCAAATGATGCGGCAGCTGCCGCAGCGACGAAGGCAAACCTCATGCTGATTGGGATCTCGTGGGCTTTGAATCTTTGTAACACGCCCGCAAGGGTGGCTGGGTAGCCCGAATTTTTTTGCCCGCTGATTCAAGACGCTCTCTCTGCGGCCATTGGTAGAGCAAGAACAACTTACGCTCGGCGTGTTGGAGCTGCGATGCTGCCAAGATGCGCTGCGCTCGCAGCAGTCGCTGTTGGCTGCGCGCCGGAGTGGGAAGATGGCGCGCTTGTTTGAGGATTCCTCAGCAGTTTGCTTTCGGTGGCCCAGCTTCGGGTACACTACATACTTTATCATCCCAGTCAGTGGTCTGGAGGATTTGCTTACTTGCAAGTGTAGCGTATCCAGCACTCGAACTTGCATGCGAAGTTCAAAGGGGGCAGCCTTTGTCCTGTGCGCAGAGGTGGGGAAGCCACAAAGGCTCCTGGAAGCTGTCAGACTGGGCATCAACACATGACAAACCGTTAGAGACTCGCAGCAGGATTCCAGCTAATGTCCTGCCTGTACGGGGCACAACACAGGCTGCGAAGATTGCCGCTGCTAACAGCGCTACCATCCTTCCCGCGGCCTTCCATGATGAGAAGGACCGAGTCTGGACGTTGGTGGGTCAGCTGTGGTCACAGGCGCTCCAAAGCAAACATGCTGCCAAGCAACCGAAGTATGCAGGCTTGAAACTGCGGCCGGCATGGCTCACTCTAAAATGTCTGAGGCGTACAAGGAAGGAACCAAAAAAAAGCTGCGGCATCGTGCTGTAGCGTAGCCGACAGCGAGCAGCATACAGAACAGGAGCATCACTTTGCAATCGGCTTACTAGGAGCTTGTCACAAAGAAGCGTAGCAGGCAGCGAACTCTCACGGCAACAGTTGCACATGCCAGAGATGCGTTCGGCAATGCTGAGAGCATCGGCCACATGATCCGGCTTCTCTAGCCGGCGCGCTACTTGATCATGAGTCGGCGGCAAGAATTCCAATAACTTTTGATGACTGCAAATGTGCTGACACCTTACAGAAAACTACAAAGCTGGCCCCAGTAAGTCCGGTGCTTCCACGAGAAGTCCTCAATGTCAGAATATCAAAGTCTGGTGTACCATCCGGAACAAGATTTTCTGCAGGCAAGGCTCGAAGCCAGTCGATGAAGAGCTGCGGCGCATCTTCGTGCGTGTTCAGCACAGGGGTGTTCCTGTTTTGAAAGCAACGGGGCAGGGCATAAATGTCCTGCCCTAGAAAGGGCCTGGGGCAGCGAAGCAAGAGGCGTGTCTAGTAGTGGGGAACATGATGGATGTTCGACTTGATTTTCCAGCCAGCGAGGCTGACAGCCACATGACTGGCAGTAATTTGGGCAGGCTGCAGTATCCGTTTCTGAATCAGACAGAGATGTGGGCAGGCCATGGTATGCACACACTCGCCATAGTCGGACAAACGTACCAGTCCAGTGTTCTGCACTTATGGCTTTGTTGCCGCTTTGCCCTGAAACCCCCAGACATCCCCGGACCTGAGCGCTGCTCCGCTGGCAGCCAAGGCCGGCCTTGAGCAATTCAGGCCAATTGTTCTCTCTGATTTTTTTTCTGTGTAGAAATTCTCTACATGTTGCAGGCATATCGTTTGAAAGCCTTCTTTCTTGGAAACCACCCGAGCCTGCGCTGTGCAGGCTGCTGAGGTTCAGGAGCTGCTATGGCAGAATACGCGCAAGTGCAAAAGCGGACCCTGGCAGCTGAGGCAGCGTCAGCAAGGGCCTTGGAGCTGCTTACGTCAGGGGACATGTAAACTTCGTGTCACTGTCTGCTTGGGAAATCTGGGACGGTCTGTAGTGCTTCTGCCATGACGGCAGTGAAAGTGCGAAGCCAGCTTGATGCTGCCAGTAAGCCTCTCGCCCTGGCTTTCGGGTCTGCAGAAAGTGGAAGCCGACCATGCGGAAGGTGTATGTGTTTGGAAAGCCTGCCCAGCTCACATGGGCAGGAGCTAACCTTATGTTGCAGCTAGCAGCAGCCACAACCCATCAGCCCCGCAAGTAACCTTCAAACTCTTCAACCATACACATGTCTGGAATGCGTAGCCAACCACCGTAACATGCTACAGTGTATCCACATGTTCTCTGCGTTCTGGCTCATGAGGGCACCACTCTTGGTGCCAGCCTTGCTTGGGAGGCATCATTGCCGAATGGCCATGCACCTGATTGCACTGCAGCATGTCCAGCTACGTTTCCTAGCTAACTGCCTTCGCGATTAGGCCGTGGCCCACTCGCCAATGAGAAGTATGAAGTCACGAGCTATCGGACAGGCATCAAGTAGCACTTGGATAACCTGCCAGCAAGACTTCAGGGGACTTGTTCTTAGAATGGCTCTCGTCCTCATGCTCCTTGTTTGTCGGTCTCTGTGTTCCTTGCTTGGATATTTGTACTCTTGCGCTGGTGGTGTCACTGGCGGTCACAGGATCGGCAGCCCTCCGTACCGCAAATAAGGGCCTGCAAAACCAGTGAAAAATGCGGTCACCTTCGCTAGCCTCATCGCGCTCATGCGACTGGTGGTCCAGCTGGCAATTGATAACATCAACCTGCTCGGAAGCAAAGCGTGCAAGGCCTGTGGATGCAGCAAACTCTGCACGTGAGTCAAAAAAGTGGCTGAGACTTGCGTGGCCTCCACCTGTGTCGGCAAATGCTTGAGAATGACCCTGGGCACTCGAGCCCAGCCTGCATGCACAGCGGATTATCAACGAGCGACAGCATCTGCTGGCCTGAGCGACCTTTGGAAACCGGCTCAAGCTGGGCTAAAGGCGTACGTTTTCCAACAGCGCAAAGGAGCTGGCAGGCGAAGCAGCTGCGCCTGTCCTCTGCAGCGAAGCTGGGGCTGAGATTTCATCGGAATGTTGCATGTAGGAAGGCCCCAGAAACCTCACCAAGTTGACCAGGGACTCCAGCGTCAGTGATGTCACCACATCAACCTGATTGAGGCAACGGTCCGTCTGAGTGCACGTGTCCCAAAAAGCATAATCTCTGAGGTGGCTTTGCTGTCATCATCCAGCTGAGTCGTAAGTCTTGTGTTTCAAGTAGGATCATTGTTTTAGCAGCCAAAATGAGGTGGTCTGGGGCTCTACCCTGGCTGCGGGGCTCTCAACTTGCACTCCACAATTTGCAGTCGTGCTCCAATGAACCCCCTGACAATGAAGCAGTTGAACTCACCTGCTCATTTGCCTGCCTCTTAAATTTGCTTCATAGTAGCCCATCCGCGGCTAAGCTCTGAAACAAGTTCGATACAAGTATGCAGGAACCTGAAACAAGGCATTCAGCAGCATGATGCCCAAAAACATGCGAGCGGTTGGAACAGCTTCCGAGGCATCTTGAGGCTGCAGCGTCTGAGTCCTCACAGCCGAGACCGACGCGTCGGGAGCCATGGAGCTCAGCCTGCGCTTGCAGCACCCTGCGGACTCATGCTATGGATTCGAACGGATTCTGGCTGCGGCAACATGGCATGACCAATACCATCGGAATGCAGCAAAGGCCAGAATCCAGAAGAGCTCACTGAAGTCACAGACTTTGGGATGGTTGTTGGCCACGAAAGAAGCCGAAGATCAAACTTGATAAGGATTCATGAGGATTGTCAAGGAATGGGTTCACGTCTTTCGGTTGCAGACCAAGCTCTCAAACCTCCTGACACAAATTCAAGCTTTGCTTGCAGAGCGCAAAGAGTAAAGAGTGCATGATCCACCCTCGGTCCCCTGGTCCACAGTCTACCCCTGCGAACAATGGGTTCAGCTACTCTTACTCTTCCGTCTCCAGGCTACCTAAGCATCGTATTTAGACCAGCAGTCTTACCTAGGCAGCCTTTCGCTGCAAAATTAAAGGCGGCTCGGGGAAAATTGCTTTCATAAAGCGAAACAGCGGAAATTACTACTCCGGGCGGAATGGGCCGCAATGCGCAATGCGGTAGTCACGATTCTTTACAGGCATTTTCTGCTTTGACTGGAATTTCTGAGCGAGCTTTTTTGAGAAATGCGTTTCACCACAACGGCCTTCTTTGTCGCCTTGTCTTGATGTTTGTTGCCTACAAAATTTCGGATTTCCCTGTTGGGTTTTCTTACTGATTGGGTTGAGGGATCCGCCTCTTCTGAGCGTTAGTTTTTTTAGGCGGCCCTTCTTCACTTCATACTTCATGCTTCTCTTCATGTACTTTCTGGCTGGGAATGCTCATGTGGCGGGGCACCCTGTCCTATTTGCAAAAAGGTTCTTTCAAAACAACACCCTGTATACATTGTGGCATACTTTACGTGCCTTCTGAAAGGATCTTTATTCCAGCTCTATGCAAGTGTGCTGCTTATACATCTTCGGCCCCGCAGATACGCACGCAATCGAGGCTCGCTTCTGCATCATTTGGGTACGGTATACGGGATCCCGAAACACCGGTTCCGGAATCAAACCCAACATTCAGGAATCTACAGCTGAATTCCAACCCGGTTGGTATTGACTACGTTCGGGATTCCTGGCATCGATTTCGTGAACATACAGACGCAAATTCGGGAATCGCAGCACAATTTTCCCGAATTTTTCGTGCAATTGGGGAAGTTGAACGCGCGGAAATTGGCAGCCACCGGGCGGAAATTTTCCGGAATCGTTGTCTGCTATATCGAGATTTTCGTGCAATGGCGGAAACTGAACGGGCGGAAATTGGCGGCCACCGAGCGGAAAATCTTCAGAATCGAAATCTTTGTGCATTTGGGGAAACTGAACGGGCGGAAATTGGCGGCCACCGGGCGGGCATTTTCGGAATCGTGGCCCACTGATTATGCAGAACATGTTTGTCGAGCCCAGGCAAGGGAATATCATTTCCTCCGAGTCTACACCAAAATTGTGTTGCACCTCTGTACCCTTCACGACAGTTCTACACATGATTGGGTCTGGGTTGTTAGCGTCTTCTATCACTTCATATGCTTGCATTCGAGTAAAGAATGTGAATGTGGTCGATTGATGCAATCGGCACTATTCTTCCCGCGGGCTGCTTCTCTGGAGGTAACCAACCTTTATATATGTGCGATACTATTTGGTTATACGCTGGCCCACTTACATAAGCTGTACAACCCCGGCCCCCCACACCTCAACTGTACCTCCAAGCACCGAAAATGTCTGCTGACCGGCACTCTGACCAGGACCATACGCAAAGGGGTTCCTTCTTGCATCACGCGTGCGCTTGTTACATAGCATGGGGCTTTCCCTCTTGCGTCTTGTCACTTGAATTGGCGGATTTTTCACTGCATCCGGCAGGCATTTCTTCTCCAACCTGCTTAGTGGCAACAGGCATTTCTACTACATCCCAAAGGTGTTGCTAAAACTTTTTTGTGAACGGCCTTTTCCAAGCCCAACAGGCGGAAGTCTAATCGGAAAAGGGCGGAACCAAAATTTCGGAGATGTATGGCTGGCTAGGTAGTCTTGGGTTCAAGGGTGGACCAATGAGACGCATCTGCTTCTAGAAGAGGCTTGGAAAGGATTTAAGTGTGCTTGAATTAAGTTTCTGCAAAGTGTGGCCCTGGCCTTGTGGTCCAAGCGCAGAAAGTCTTCCCAAGCCTTCTCCCAGGGTCCCTGCGCAAATCCGCTTGGTCTCTCTTCAGAAGCATGCCGCTACCCTGTAAAAGGTTGTGTGTCAGACAGGCCACCCTGCCCGCGCCTTCCTCCCAGTAGATTGCAGAGCCATTCGCCGACCCAGCCGCCGCATCGGTCATGTTTCCACGTTTTTCTGAACTGAGACATCTTAATGGGATAGTCATAGTTCATCATCTCGTTTGCATGTTTCTACTAGACTAACGTCATGGCATGCGCCAACAAAGAGCAACAGGCTGCATGACGAGCGGCTCAGTATGTAGCAACATGTAGCAACCAGTTCGGCTCGCAGTCTGATTAAAGCCATGGACGGGGAGATGCCTAACTCAGATTCATAGGGGCCGCGTTGTGATCCACAAATGCAGATCTCGCTCATTTTTCAAAACTCGTCGCTTTGTTGACTTTCATGTCTGCATCAAACCTTGCAAGATGGAATGTGACAGGGCAACAGGCAACATGAAGAAGAGTAGCAGAATCGCCTAAAGGACGGCATGGACTGACCAAGCGATGAGTTGCATGCATATCTCGCAGTGAGTGCAGCATCTGCCCTGCCTTCGTTGATTATGGAGACATATGGGCGCGAACACTTCAAAAGCGATCGCCCATATAGATGTCGACGCAGGTTGTGTCGACATCAACGCAAATTGCGTGGGTGCAATCCTGCACCTGTATGATCTACCCTGCCAGCAGTCTGCATGCAGAAGTTGCCGTTGCTCGATTCTGGCTTGTGGCTGTGGTCACCAGGCTACAAGACGTTGCCAGCAGGGTCAGGGTTTTTAATAGTGTCCGCGCTTCCCGGTACTCACAAGATGACGGGCGGGTCCGGACTTTCAGTACCCACTGCACTGCCTCGGCTCATGTAGCACCCTAGCCTTATCGCTGCATATATACCACGCAAAATGCTCAGCTTTGCTGTGCCGAGGCAGTGCGCAATTAATATTCGAAGTCCCTCATCTGTGAGATCACTTGGCAACCGCAATCCAAATAAAATGCGGGAGAGTCCCTGGACAGGCCAGTCATTTACTTGCACAGTGAAGGTTGCCAAAGTCTCTTGCTGCTACTTTGTAGCTGCGCTCAGCCCATGAAGCCTCCTTGGCCGGCTCCGGCCTTCAGCTCTAACATCAGTCAAAACTGGTCAATGCTAGTTGGGAAACGGAACATGCTTGCTGAGCGCAAGGCCAAACCTCCCTTGTAAGAACCCTGCTGTCCCTCAGTGGAGCATGCAGTGGCAAGGCAAGAGCGAGGCGCTCAGAGACTGCGGCGCCAATTGCAAGGTCTGAGCTCTCAGCCCCACCCTGCAAGCCACGGAGGTTGTCACCCAGTTCCATGTAGCCAGGCCTCAAGCTAAAAGGATTGGGCCAGAAAGCCCACTGCAGGTTTCCAAACAGGTGGCACTCTAGCTACCGGCACTTCAAAACCAGGTGCAGCTGCATAACATCTGTGGCTCGGACAGCATGCCGAAATTTGGGTTCGATGGGCCACCGGCGGGTCCGGTTCCAGCGTTTGGCATGCCACCCATGTTGCGTGCAGGCACCTCCAGTGGAAGACTCCGACGTGGCTCGCTGCCATTGAAGCATGTAGCTGACATGGGCTGGCATACTATATTCTACTGAAATGTATTCTGGCATCCTACAACACACCACAGCTCACTATAATACACAATGGTATTTTCTGGTGTAGTATAATGTACTCTAGTGGCGGAAGCGTTCTTTTCCTAGGTTCGGCTGTATTGCTTGGTCTAGAGATTCGGCTGGAGGGCCGCGTCCCAGGCGTTACCAGAACAATACGGCCAAGCCTAGGAAAAATGACACGCCGACTGACCGTGGGCGCTATGTTTTCCTAGGTTCGGCTGTAAGGGTTTGCCCACTAGGAGCTGAACGTCACATATGTTAGGACGCCCCATGCGAGATCTCGATTTTGAGCCAAAATGCCAGCACCCCCCACGCGAGGGCTAGATTTCGCGTCGACATTTGAGGACGCTCCAGGCGACAGCCGCATTGTGCTGCCGGGCGCTACCAGAACCTTGCAGCCAAACCTAGGAAAAATAGCGCGCCGACTGACCGTGGGCGCTATTTTTCCTAGGTTCGGCTGTAAGGGTTTGCCCACTAGGAGCTGAACGTCACATAACATATGTTAGGACCCCCCGTGCGAGATCTCGATTTTGAGCCAAAATGCGAGCACGCCCCACGCGAGGGCTAGATTTCGTGTCGACATTTGAGGACGCTCCAGGCGACAGCCGCATTGTGACCGACCGCGACCGACCGACCGACCGCTGGACCGACCGAGCGCTGGACCGACCGACCGACCGGCAAGAGGCCAGCCCTCTTAGCCAAACCTCTATACTGACCGGGCAATACAGCCAAACCTAGGAAAAATAACACGGGACCCTACTAGAATACGACAATAGAACATAACAAGATAATCCAAGAAAATGTACAAGACAAGATATGTATTTCAACATAAGACATAATATACTACTTTATAATGCTGACATTAGCATGCTCAGTTGGCGGCCTGTGGCTGTTGAACAAAGGCAGCGGCCCAGGCCGGATTCCCGGCCAGACCTCGGCCAGTAGCAGGTTTTATGACTAATGATAGGCATGATAATACTGCAAACTGAGAGCGTGCGTTTGGGTCCCGGAATGAAAAGAAGACGGTCGGACAGTCAGACGCCACAGGCAGACTGTCAGACAGTCAGACAGGAAAGGTAGACAGCAGACAGCGTCTCGGTAGCAGGATTTTTGTAAGTCCTTGAGAAGGGTCCCGCAAGGACCTACAAAAAATAGTTCTGGATTTCAGGGTTTTTGTATGACTGCCAGCTACCCGGGTATTGATTGTCTGACGGTCTAATTGTCTGACTGTCTCCCGTGTTGGGCGATTGTTGACTGTCTACTACAGGGTTAGGCCCCGTGCCGCGATCTCAATCCGAAAGAATGATACCAATCAGAATACCAAAGCTTATAGCAAGTGCGTGATAATGATGGTAATAATAATAACAATGATATGTCATCGCAGGCCCTTCGATTGTTCGGCAGAAAATCCTTAACAATCTTCTGTTGCTGAACGCCGATGCAATCCTGTGCCAAGCCCTGCAAAATTGAGCAGACGCTTTTGTCTGATGGAACTCGCCGAGGTGCCCAGAGATTGGAGGTTCGGCAAGCCTTGCAAGCCTGATCAGGGAAGGCTTGGAGAAGGCCAACAATCTTTCTGTGGGCATAAGATCACCAGGAGACTCTATAAGCGGGATGCAGCGAATGTGCCAGCGTCTTCTACGGATGGCATACGAACCGACTGCTTAAGACTCTTCAATGGCCTTGTAGGCCCTGGAGTCCTTGCCTGAGCCAAGCAATGTTGCTTTGGTTCGCTTTACTTTAACCTACTACTTTGCAACGCCTGGCAGCTGCCGCCGCTTCGCAGAGTCCATTCACGAGCAGTGTTGATGGAGGCCAAGCTTTGAACATGTACGAAAGAGAGACGGCTAAAAAGCGCCCTGAGTCGCAGGCAGATTTGGAAGTCCCTGCAGGCCCTGCGGGACAGACATGCCGAGGGTGCCCGCCCCCTTAGCAAGACACGAGGTGGGAGGGTGCTTCGGTGCAAAGGACTCCTGCTTGAAGGCCTGGTAAGAACACGCTAAGCACGTTACAGAGAACTCCATGAGGTTGGGCACTCCTGCCGAGCAAAGCGGCAAGCCAGCGTGATGCAACCCCAGCTGCGCTCGTGACTGAAAGTGCTTGAGGTGCAAATTTATGATTTAGCCCCACATGCACTCGCCGATGCTGGCCTGGCATCAAGCCGAAGCCGCCAGCACCTGTGACACGTTGCCGAGACGTCAGGTTTTGTAGAATGACAGAAGCGTGCGAGGCAAAAGCCCTTCAAAGGCACTACTTACCTTTATTCCCTAACCTTGTCTGATTATTCCGGGGGCCATGAGCTGTGTGCTCAGTTTTCGCGCGCCAAGCGCCGTGCGAAGGATAGTGAATTTGCTGAGCGGGGAGTTTTGGCACTCATCAACCCTGTGGCTGTAAACATGGAAGATCTTTCTATCGGCGCGTGCCAAATCTTCCCGCAAAGCAGCTGTGCCAGTTCTACGTGGCTCAGCTTGGAACGGCGCAGAGCATGCGCAAACTTTGCCGAGAGCGATTGTGACATCTCTTTGCAACAGTCTAGCTCTAAAGATTGCAAGCACACTGAAGCCTTCATGTCAAACCAAGTAATTGCGCAGAAGACGTGGCACTTCTTGTTCTTGTTGTTGTTGTTGTTGTTAGACTAGTCGAGACTAACTTTCAGACAAGCACGAAGGAGCAACACATGCTTGCATGATGACTGTCAGGTGTGATTTGAAAATGGCTCGCTTTGGTTGCCATTCTCTCGCAGCGTGCATGCCGCACTTTACCTCTGAGTGATGAAATGGGTTTGGCAAACAATCGTTGAAACTTCAAAGTCATCAGTTAAAGATTGCTGCCGAACGTAGCCCTTCCATTTCTGTAAGATCTGAAACCATCCGTTTACGTGCTGAGAAACCTAACAAATTCCTGGTTAATACTGATGCACCCCGCAGAAAAACAGTCAGGCGCAACATCGTTGGCTCAAAGAATTGTTGGAGCTTATGGTTAGCTGATGGAACAGCGCTCATCATCATTTTCATCCACCGAGCTGAGACCTGGGCGAGTAACTGAGCAACTGCCTGGAAGCAGTAAACAAACAACTTGTGATAGCCGAGGAGGCCCCAGCGATAACCCCAACACACCACAAAGCCATACCCATCTCTGGCCGGGAGTCGTTTGCCATAGCGGTTTCTTCCATGGAGCCCAGGCGGAGTCATCTCCCCTTCATACTCCAGTAGCCTGGGGTGTTGTGAAGACAATGGCTGGTACAGGAGTGTGGGTGCGGCAGAAGGTGTCTAGTGAGCATGGTCCAGGCGAAGCATTTTGCCCAGGGGCTCGTCATCCCCATCGCAGCCAACTCGGCAGCTCCTGCGTCTTCGTGCATCCCCTGGTTCTGTCACGTTCTTTTTGGAGGGAGGGTGTAAACCAACAACTCAGAATAGGCCAACGCCTGTACGTTGATACCAACGGAACTGTGAGTCATTAGAGTCGTCAGGCATTTTTCAGCGATTCCTTCGTGCTTCTCACGCGTCCAAGCACGACAGACCGTGAGAGGGTAAATCAGTAAATCTCAAACATTCCTAAAGTCAATTCTTGAATGTAGTTCATGTAGGATGAGGATAAGTGCCTGCTCTGCTGTCCGCAATACCATGATAGCACGTAGCCTGTGAATCTTAGACTGAAGTCATTGTGGTAACATGTGGAAACAAGTGAAGCGACAGCAGGGCCACCAGAGTGTTGAGCTCCGATTGAGGCGAGGCGCCTGAAGGTACTCAAAACTTCTAAGGCACCATGGAGACCGCAAACACGCGGCTGGGATTAAAAAAGGGTAGCCAACGCCAGGACCTTTCAGGTTGGGTTGGCGGCTGAGCAGGTGATCCCGCGGTACTGGACTACAAGCCCAAGACTGCAGGACCAAACCTGACGTTATCTGACGTTATAAAAGTCAAAGCCATGCCAGTTTCACACCCACAAGGTCTCAGACCCGTTGGTTTGAATCTGAGCCTTCGGCTCAGACTCTGGCTCAGCAGTCTTCTCATTGCCCTCAGCCTGCTTACCGATTTTCCCATTTCCGCCTGGCAGCCGAGGCATGGGCAAATTGTCAAGTTTGGCGGACTAGTGTGAGTGTACCCAGTAGAGTTGTTTCTCTTCTTCGCAGGGAGTGTTAAATGGATGATACCAGGTAGGCCTTTAAATGTTAAGGCCAGGCTCTGTTACTTCAAGATCCTGAGGCTCTGGAATCTGATGTCAGCAGAAGCCATGGGGGGCTCAATTCTGCGGAGGTAGTGTGCAGGTTGTTGGTGTGCCAAACAGCTGTAGGTTTCAAATGCCAGCGCTTTGAATACAGAGGCCAAGATCATGCCAAGATCCATTTCCGAGGACTCAGCCTTTCTCTGGTACGAAGCTAAGCCGAACTGAACTACTCCCTTCCCCTCCCCCTCCTTTTGCACTTCAACAGGAGCCGAAGCCCGCAGACCGGCCCATCCATTTTTGGGGGTTTGGATTGATTATTGTGAGGCCTAATCAGGATCCAATGTTGCCGAGCAATAGTTGCATCGGGATTTGGACTTTGACCGGCCTGGCCTGGCTTGAGCTGGCCATCAGACTCGTAGGACTGGAGGCGGTCCACAATCCAACTTGTCTGCCTTTGCGCACCCGAAGTGTCAGGCCAGCGCATGCGATGATCCGCACCCATCTTGAGCATTGCCAAGGTGAAGCCTCCTTTGGAGATCATGTTCAGGATTGCGAAACCCACTGCGTTGCTTTTCGCATCCCCGAAAAGGCCCAAGCCCTCAGCCGATACCATCCACCAGCAGGGGAACGCTGGCCATGTGAACCAGACCGTGCACCTTGGTTTTTGGGGCAGCCCTTGAACGTTTAACTTCTCTGGTTTGCCGACACTTACATGTTCAAAGCCCCTTCCACAAGCCTTAGGCAGATCCAGGACACAGCAACCGCAGATAGTGATAGGGCAAGTCCCGTTGTGGCCGGCAGCCTCCAGCACAGAAGTAGACAAGGACAAGCAGGGGCATCTGGAGCAGGCAGAGGACCCCCAGGCAAGAGGCAGTGATTCCAATGATGATTCCCTTTGTCGTCACCACAAGAACGGAGGGCTCCCATGTAGATGTAAAGGCCTGCCAGGAGGCATCTTCAAACAAGAAGCCATCGTGCAAAGAGCCGATCCATCCACAAATCAGGAAGGCGTGCGTGAAAAGGACCACGAAAACCACATTCGTTTTGTAGAAAGGGACGTAGGGGGCAAGGAGGACCACAAGCTCGGCTTGCATCAAGGAGCAGGTGAAGGCGTAGCCCAGGTAGCGGAGACCATTGACGTTGCCAAAGTGCAGCCAGCGAAACACGGAAAAGAACGCGGCAAGAGCCTGAGCGATGCACATAGCGATGTTCAGGTTCCTGCAATAGGCGATCCGTGCCGAGCAAGGTTTCTTTGGCATGTCAGGCCATGTCTTTACAAGAGTCCACCACTCCTTCGTCGCGGGAGACACATAATCAGTAAACATCAGCCACACTGCATTGATCGGTTTCTTGACATCACTCCGGACAGTGATTTTCAGGGCCAGGTAAGTGAAAAAGAAGCCAAGGATGATGCTGGTGAGGCTCTCAATCGCAAAGGCCGGGTACAGTGGGCCGCACGCGCGGAACAGCTCAAAGTCGTTGAGACCTGTCTCTGGAATGCTGGAGAAGTGAGGCCCCTGACAGAACTAGCCGCTCATCCCAAATAATGCTTGCTACTCACATCACTAGAGGCTTAGGCACAGAGGCCTCCTAGCCGCAACAGCAACGATAGTAACTTTCAGTAGAGGGTTCGGCACAAATGCCTCAACATATCACATAGTCATCACGTTGCGTTTTATCTTTCTATTAAAAACCCAATGATCTCGTTGCCCACCTTCAAGGACCATGGCTAGCTATGCAAGGTGCTTGGCAGTGCGTGCCACTGCTTGACTGCGTGAAGCTGCCCTAGGCTTGAACCCAGCAATGGCAGCGATGGCACGTGTGGATGCCTTTCCTATCCTGTGGCAGCAATTTCCGGTCTATCTAATGCTTGGTCGTGCTGGCACAACCACTTGTGCTAGTTTTGGCCTGGGCCAAGGATACTTCCAGCAAGGACTTTAAGTGCCTTTGAACCCGGACTACAGCTCCAGAAGTTCATCCAATGTAGCGGCTCGGACTCGCGGGCGTACCTGAATCACATACCATCCATCCTGCTTTACCACACGGGGCACTTCTTATCAGTTTGCAAGATGTTGCTGTGATACTCTCTGAGTTCAAAGTCCCTGTTTTGATCGCAATACTTCACAAGCGCTACAAGGCCATACTTGACTCCCTAGACGCAGCCCAGATGCAGCTTCTGGTGCGCTTCCTTCATGGGGCCGTTGCCAGAGCATGTCTTTGAGGATTCACCACGCGCACATGATGCTTACATGCCAGTGTGCTTGTCATGGGTGCTCAGAATGTGCCCTGTGCATGTTCGTTTTGGGTTTTTTAGCTTGAATCCAAGGAGCTGTCCACTCAATTATTTCCGCGACTACGCAGGAGGTGTCATCCATCTTGCCACCCTTGCCTATCCTTGGCCCCCGAGTGCCCGAGTACTGCCGCTGGCTGCAACTACCCCGTCGGCAATTCAAGACAAGCAAGGGAAGTGAGCTTGAAGGTGAGTTGCGGTGCTTCGGCCAGAAAGCCCCCAGCTCTGACTTCCGTCTTCTGGTGGGCAGCCTGGCAAGAATCTGAATGTACACTGGTCCATGTCAATCACCTGGTCTTGGCATGTCAACTTGCCATAACGGCCTTGCCTGAACAATCCGTGTTGCGAGCAGCGTGAGCTGCGAAGAGTGTGTCGGCAGCCTCAGACAAGGAAGCAGGACTGCTGAGGACTGCCAAGTTCCTTTGAAACCAGACATGCACTACAGCTGCCCCCTCTGCCCATGCTGTGACCATTCAAGGTGCTGAGAGCCCGGAGGCAAAGCCGCATTCGCCATGGCTGCCACTTCATCCTGCTTTGAGGAGTTTGCTGCAGCATGTACCATCACGTAACATCAAAACCAAACGATGGTCACCCCCCGAAATGACATCAAATGACGCCTGATCCTGATACTGAGCCCAAGCTGCTAGGAAAAGATTGTCGAAAACTCCATCAGAGCCGATCAGCACAATGTCGCCTTCCTGGGGCGGTGGGGCGCTGCATGCTGTGCAAGCTGCAATCCGTAGAACTCATTAACTTCTGGTGTCGCGCTGAGAGTCATAGGCAGAGACGCAATGAACCGCACTTCCCCGTTCAATGACTTCCACTGTGATGTTGTCCTGTCCAGCTAGTGGCTGGTTTGACTCATGGCTTGAAGCATCTCGAAACCATGCATGATAACCAGCTATGTATGGACACTATATGGGCAACAGTTTGAGGGCATTGTGGGCTCCTGCAAACATGTACTTGAAGGTGAAATTGGAGCAGCACATCCGATTTCTCAGCATGACATTGACAATCCAAGTTGCATTGAAGTTTGGGTCGATGCGATCATCTACCCGAGCCAACCTGGATCAGTCCAATGGTTTGGGCCACAGTCCCCGAAATTGCTTTGGGGATTTGGGGAGGAATGTCACGGCTTCGGCTCTGCTCCAAGCAGCTGCAATGGCGTTTGGCAATGCCCATCTACGCGTTGCATCTCCTTGGTTCGGATGCTTCATCCCTTCTGATGCATCATGCAAAGGCCAAGCGCGGAGACTTACTATTCCTAGCAAGTACATCTTCACGAGTGAGCACATGGAGGGGATTGGAACAGGATGATTGAGCACGGTGCTGCTAAGAGGCTGTGTGGAACACAAGTTCCAAGGGGCCCGAACGGCCTTGCAAACGTCGCCTTGGAGCGGCAGGTCTACAAGCCTATGTAATTCACTTACTCATAGGGAAACGCGCCCGAATGACTTCTGGGCGGCCCGCATAATTTGAAGGTACTAGAAAGGTTGCCGGCAGCTTTGCAGCGGCGTTACTGCTAGAAAACGTACAGCTCCAAAGGGTCAAGTTGCAGAATGACTAGCTCACAGTCGCCGACGGAGATGACCTCGGCCGCAAAAGCCTACAACTTGTAACGTCCATGCCCGAATGCCCTCAGCAAGCAGCAGAAGGGAGAAAAGCCAGTAGCTGCTGCGCCAAACGACTGAATCATTGTGCATGGGGACTCGCCAGAGCAACTGGAAGAGCATCACATGCAAAAAACACGAGGCCAAATGAAATGGTCATGAATTTCCCTACAGCAAGTGGCAGCAATCATGGGGTGAAGCTTGCCGTGGATTTTCGTAGAATTGTCGAGCAAAGCCTCGGGTTGCATCATAACGACCAAAAAATACCAGTGCAATTTTGACCTCCAGTGATTGCACGGGTGCTTGCACGCGTGACGAACATGCAGCCCTAGGAATGACCGTCTGCTGCGATCCTGTTATGGAGTCTGTTTGCAACTGTGCGGCGAGGACCAAAGTCGTAGATCCCAAGCAACTTGGCAGAGCAAACGAAGCAAGAGCGAAGCGGACTGGTGCGCTTGCTGTTGACACACCCACACACATTACTGAGCATCAGCGTCATGGCCTATGGAAAATCTTGCGGAAGTGTTTGCACTCATTGCCCTTTCTGCATGAGTGTTCTCAGGACACTGCTCCGTGTTCCGGAAAGCCTCCCGAACCAGCGGAATTGGGCCGTGGTACGGTGCCTGACATCGTGCAAGACAGCAGTGCAGGCTTCAATTGTCACCCTCCTACTGGCAAGTCAAGTGGCACGTGCTCCGCGGCCCGGCAGGAGCTGCCGAAATGCCATGTCCTCGCACTGCCGGAGCAACTCTGTCGGCCTCAGATCTGTGTTCTGAATTATAAATATTCACCTTGGATTTGAGTTGTGGCCCTGCGGCTGCGCACTGAAAGCGCCTTATTCCATACCTCCAAGGTGCAGCTGAGAGGAGTCAATACCATACTCTTCGATTTGGGAGACTCCATCAGCAACACCAACCTCGGTACAATTGTTTCTCTCTCAGGCTTTCTTGGCTGTGCCCGGCACTCAGCACGCTGATGTTTTGGGATTTGAAAGAGATTTTGATCAGGCGACAGCCATTGGAGACACCAGCGTGGCATCTGCATCTCGGTGTCCAGATCTCGCTTTGACCGGGTGTGTCTTCTGGAAGGCACAAGAATTGAAGCCTGGCAAGGCCCATGCATTGATGAAATGCGAAGCGCAGCCGTAGCCTGCACTCATCGCCAGGGTAAGTTTTGTACAACGCTTAGGAGCCTGCGGCATTTCCTAGAAGTGTCAGCCCATCCCGTACCCGAGCCAAACATGCAACGGCCAAGGGGCACAAGGGCTTGTTCTTGTGGTAGACTTCTGCCAATTGCTGCTCACGTCGCTGGAAAGCGTCTAGATCGCGTTTCTGCTTCTCCTCAAATAACACTCGCCGCTACAATCTTTTTTCCTTCGGTCAAAATTAACGAAAGAATTCAGGCTTAAGAAAACATTGATTGATGCTGAGGTTATGAAGTCCGTGAAAGACTTCGGAGAGCAAGAATGTGTATGGAGAATCTTGACGGGAAGCAGGGTGGGCTTGCTCCAGCAAAACAAATGAGGCTTGTTGCAAAGCAAGCTGCAGCCCCCACAAAAAATGTTGGAGAGCGCTGAACTCCATCTCTCCGAACAGCCATTCAACCGCCTGAAGGCACATTGAACAAAGGCGACATGGGGGCAAATCATATCAACTCAGAGCTGCCACCTCAGCTGCAGCGGCGGTGGCCGACGAAGGCAGACGAGCAAGCAAGATCTATAAAGCGATTGTCTGCGGTTCCATTAGCTGAGGCTAGGCTGTGCACGTGCATTAATGGCGATTAGGCTGCGAACCTGTGATCAGCACTGATCAATTGTACTTGGGCGCATTTGCGCTTGTGTAATTTGATGTTCTGCATTCACGGAAGCTATGGCAGTCTCTGGGCATAATCTAGCATGCCAGGGCCCATGCTCGGGCCTGCTATCTGGATTTTCTACTGGGGCCAAAAAGCCAAGCTCTACGCGGCCATCCCTGAGTGGTGGTGAGAAACCGCACACCATGCAGCTGCATGCAACATGATGCAGAACCTTCTTGGTTTCTGCGAAACAACTCGTCCTGATTGCGGCAGGCCTCCACCCATGCCCAGTTGCGGCTGAATCTGTGGCTGGGGGACCTTCAAGACCAATGCTTGCACCTACCCTTCATCAGAACAACCAATGTGTCGCACCACCTCTTAGGTCTGGCAGTCAACCTGGCCACTACAGCCAAACAAGGATGGGTCTGGAGTCCATTCCGCAATCCAACCCTACTAGCATTGAAGTCGTGCTTTGACCTGACTCACCATCCAATTCACACTGGATGCACGCGGTGGATCTGAAGCGGGGAAGACACGCCGCTTTGCGCACAACACACAAACACTGAACAGTGCACTTGCATTTCACACTCGCGCGAAAGATCACCTGTGCAAACGACTAGATGTGCAATTTGCTGGCGGCTCATGTCTTGCGACCCATGATGTAAACGTTGCAAGGCGCACGCAGAGAGTGCTTCTTATAGTGTTAGCACCTACAAAGGCGGCCTGCGGTTGCTGCGGGTTCGCCGTTGGCATCTGCTGGCTGGGCCGATTTGCCCTGAGCGATAGAACAAGTACTTTCCACATGAGTTCTTTGCTGAAGGTTGTCTGAACACCCACTTCCCTACACCCCTTTTTCTGCACTGCATACAGCCCTATAGCCTGTAGACATATATCCCCGGGCACGTTGCCATGTTGTGTGTGGAACTGCTCAAATGGTCTTGAAAACATTATTAGTTCCAACGGCGGACACGTCCTCGAGCACAGGAGCATATTTGATGTTCTAGCATTGTTGCTGGCTAGAATGTGAACTGAGAGGGTTCACATGGTTTGCGCATTTCCTTCTAAAACCTCGGTGCGAAGGTTATGGTCACACAGTCACGAAGGTCTGTTGCAACTCGGGATCTCAAGATCTCAAAGGAGCCCCTGGATCTAACAACTGCAAAATCTGTTTAACATGATTGCAGAATATTGAAAATGTGGTTGCCACATTCATTATGGATCCCATCATCTATGTTTCAATTCCTGAGCCGGAAGCTGTGGCGGTGCTCCTCCAGCGCCTGCGATGCGAAGTTCTTGCAACTCAGCGATGGCTTCGTTGCAAGTGCCGCTTGGTTGGCCTCCGAGTGCGCCTCCTGCAGCTGGGACCGGACGGTCGCCACCTGGCACTTAGCTATCTTGCAGCAAGCCGCGGCGATGGGTTGCTTCGGCCTCCCATGCCCATCTGTGGCTTGCCGCGTCCTTTGCCACCATCACCACGTCCTTCACAGCATTTGTAGGCACATGTTTCAGGCAACTTGCTGTGAGCATGGCGCCTCCAAATCCTGGGCCACGGCCTCCGCCCTGTGCCAGCATTTAACATCATGTTGTTTCAGGTGAGGGCAGGGTCCGGATCAGCAAAGAAAGCTTTGGAAGTACGGTACGTCATGCTCATGAGTCATTGAAGACTTCAAGGCCAGCTTTGTATCAGAGCTCCCCTTCCAGCTTTTGGGAGAGCACAGCAAAACATAATAGTAGGCGTAAAACATGCAGCGACCATTTTGCTAAGCAAGCGCACTTGCTCTGGAGGCGGCTAAAATACAACGAAAGCAGGAGCTGTCTTTAGCTGCTTGCTTAAAATCAATTATGCTTTGAAGCTCGCCTCTCACTATACTCCTTCACCCAGGAAACGGCATTGCTGAGACTACTTGACGACAAAGCCCGGTAGAGGACCCCAGGGATCTTGTACCTGAGTCGCATGTCAATCTGGTAATACACTCGCGACCATCCCTCCTTTGTAGGGTGCGGCTCCACGTACCACATGCCCTTGATGTCGTCCACATCTGAGCGCCTGTCATAATCCAAGGACCAGATCATGGAGTGACCCTTCCTATCCGCTGTGTGGTCAAAGTAGCAGTGGAATGAGAAGCCTGGGATGATTGTTGAGGACATCTCCACGAGGACCTGCTCCTTGCCCCCACGAAGCTTCTTCTTTCCATAGACGATGCTGCTGGAGCACATGGCTACCTTTTTCTTGTAAGAGGAGAAATCCAGCAGCTCCTCCATCACATCGTCCGGCGTGGCGGCCATGTCTCGGATTGCAAGGCCCTTCCCCCGAGTTGGATCCTCCTCTTGGCGCAGGACCAGCTTACCCTGTTCCAGGGTCTGCTCCTCTGCTGCAGTCAAAGGCTTCATGTTCTCAACCGGCCCGAGCTTGAAAGCCGGCAAAGTGCCACGGTGCCCTTGCGCGGGTCCATCGCCATCTTCGACCACCTCTGGCTCGGGTGTCTTAAGCACCAGCGGCAACAAAAACCCCGCCAATGCAAGCACCAGGACAAAGGCCAGGCACTTGTACCCTGGACGACACCGTGCTGTCGTCATTGCCAGTGGTGCAAGGAGGATGCCAATTTTACATAGCTCAACTACAGCTTGAACCGACAGGAGGATTTAAGCTAAGCTCCAAGCATACGTATTGAACAAATTTGACTTGGAAAGCATGCCGCAGCCGATGCCTTCGCATTGCCACCCGGAGACCTCGCGGCAAGCGAGGTGGCCGACAGGTCGTCTGAAAGCCAAGAATGTCGCCCCGGGCAGTCATGACCAGAACCGTAGAAACTTTAAAGCAATCTTTCACAACTTGAAAAGCCCGGGGTCAGCCCAGCTCTTGATTCGCAACAGCGTCTACCTTAAACCTCTGAGTCATCGTTTCCCTTTCTAGAGAGAGCAGAAACGAGTCCCTGAGGGTCAAGCGGTCGCATTCCTCCTGGCTTACAAGATAGCAAGCTTCAAGACCACCGCGTGCTTGGCACGGCAGACTACCAGACAGTTTGATCCATCACATGAATCAATGGTCGCATGGTCAACGCTCTTGTTGACAGCATGACACATGCAGACACATGCATGCCAATGCCTGCATTTCCCTTGCCGTCATCTCCTGGCGTAGCAGACCCACTGGACTCCAAAAGCGTATAGATAAGATTGCCATGGTTGGCATTAAATTAAAGAAAGGGTTTGAGGACCCCAAGGTCTGCATGGTGGTGAGAAGGTTTTCCAGACACGGGCCCCGGCGCCTTGCTGTTCAACATCCAATCAAGTCCGGGAACCAGGCCTTTGCCACCCTTGCGGCCGCCTTTTGGTCGGTCGCCTTTGGGTCCTCCGGGTCCTGATGCACGGGGTCTGACCGATCCAAAGCAAAGCCAATGCCGGCACTCGAGAAAGAGAGGGGATGACACATGGCCTACTGGCTAGAGTGCCACAAGGGTCCGTTCTGACTCTGGGACTTGCTCCATCCCTCCAGCCTCGGCCGGCGCCCCCCACTGGGCCTCCTGGTGGTCCTCCCGGGCCTGTCGGAATTGTCAAGTGGGCCTACATCGAGGAGTTTCGCACTGCCTCTGGGCCCCTCTGTATCTGAAGATTGTTCCAGCTCTTCCTAAAATCATACCACCGCCGATCTGCACCTTACATCTGTATGCGAATTGCACAATGAGCCATGGTGACACGTCAGCTGCCGATGTTGTAGGTTTCGCTGCTGATGTCCGGGTCCGGTGCGCTGAACGTTTTAGGGAACACTCCAACAAAAATGATTGCCGCAGAGTGCAAAAATCAAATCTGCCACTCTACACACACACACACCATGTAGGGAGAGACCTTGCGCCTCTATTTGGGCCACCACGCACATACAAGTAACAGATAGGCTTCTGTGTTGAAGCTTACCGGTAGCTGTTCTTCTCGGGCTCTGTTTGTTGCAGCCTTGCTGCAACTATTTTGTGCTCCCTTACACAGCACTGGGACTGGGAGGCCAGCCATCAAAGAGATGGTTGTCTTATCGAATGCCATACATCAAGCCAAGCGTGCAGAGTGCAATAATCACCTTTTCATGCTGCTACAGCTCAGTTGACGGGGCGTTGCCGTGAGTGACCTGAGTACTGAAGCTGCCTGGAGCAAGATAGGCCCACTTCTGAAGCGCAGTGTCAAAGCATTGCATGCAAGTCAAGTCTCTGTAAGAAAGCGCAGTTCTGGGTGCGAGTGCCTGCAAGGAAAATGGCACCACCACAAGATCTAAACAGTTGCCCAAGACCACGCAGTGGAATTACTAGTAGAATCTTCTTTCTGCTGGTGCCTCTCACTGCATGTGAACCACATGGACAGCACCAAGCGCCGTCCCCAAGTCATGGGATTCACGCGGTGCACGTTCCTTGAAAGCTTGCAGGACAGAGTGAATGCGGCCCATGTCACAGGTTTGACCAAGGAACTCGAGGCCGGAACTGAAGAAAGCAAACAAACCGCGACCTTGGCGGTTTAACCACTCAGGTCATGACATGTCATGACTTGTCCCAACATTGCCAAACACTCCAGCTGAACTGGCCAGATGACGTGGCACGATGAAACGGTCTGCATCGGCGTCGTTGAACATAAGTTCGCCACCTTCGTTTTGACATGTGTGAGCTGCACGTATGACAGTTGCTAGAGTCTGCTAGAAGTAAGTAGCCAACATCCCGCGTGAAATTATCTGAAATCCTCTTGCTTTGCTTCTTTCTATCTTTCCTTGTTTACTTCTTCCTCATGTTTCTTATTCCTGGGCTCCCGGTGAGGGAGGCAAACCTGTCAAGTACAAACAGAACCCTACTAACGCAGCACAGCTCAACCAGCGGGAAGAACTAGGTACTAGACATCCAAGAGGATCAACCCACACACAGGAGACGCAAAATCGTGTTCTCTGACCATAGTACCATCAGAACAGACAGCTGGCAGCCATCGTTGTGCACTTGTGGTACTCGCCGCAAACTCTAGAAAGCTGTTGTCATCCCGTCCGGCCTTCAAAATCCTCGCCATGCTCGCTGAAATACAGCAAAGCGCTCCAGTCGTAGGATGCGACATTAGCCTGCTGTCTGGACATCCGCATAAATATAGGGTACATGTTGGGGTTCTCTAGGGATAATAAAAAGAAAATGGAAACTAGACAAGAAGGACCTCGGAAGCGTCGGGTTTCACTCAGCCATGCCATCGAAACTACGACAATGGGTTATATAGGGACTACTATAAGGATCTGCGGTGGATCTACGCCTTGTGCTCATAAAACTGCTTGAAGCGTATCCGTATGGTGCCTTGTCTACGTGAGGGGCGAACTCATCTTCCTTCTCAGGGTGGAGTTGCATCTCACCTTTCACAACACACATTTGTGCAGAGCGGCTTGCGCATTTACCTCGCATCAATTAGCTCCATTACCTCAGGAGCAATTATGGGCAATTTCGTTGTCATCAGCACCACATCAGCCTCCCCATGCCTGCCTTGAATTGGCGGCACTTGCAACCGATTGAGCAGAGCCCCGGAGAAAAAGAGCTGCGACGCGCCAATTGATTCTGCAATTGTAAGCCTGCACGAGGTGCGTCAAGAGTCTTGCACATAGTGTACACTTGAACACTGTGGACAAATGTGCAAACCCCTCCCAACTCTCGGCCTCGCCCTTTGCATTAAGTCCTGGCTGCTGGATTTCTCAGGTTTGCGGCATGCGTGCTGATTTGGCGTGCCACAAATTGCCGCGCAATCGGGTCTGGGGCACCCGTCCTGGAAAAGCGGGGCTGCATCCTTCAAACGAGCGAAGCCATCACTTCCCATCGCCAGCCTCAGTATGGCTGTAATTCACATTGTGCTGAGCATTACGGGAGCTTCCTTGTCAAGAAGCGTCGTTTGCGGACCAGAGTGAAACAGTCCTTGTAGGGCTTTCTCTGCAGATGCCCGTGCCTTCTGAACCTTGCAAGAAGCAAGCCAACGGCTGGAGCATGCTTTCAAACTATGAGTTTCTCAAACCTTCAGCGAGCGACATAGAGTTACTCCAGTAATTATCCTGGATCCCTGTCAACCCAGCTCGATTGGACCTCGGGCTCGGTGGCCAGAGCTTCCTGCATCCAGCGCCCGCAACCGTTGCCCTTCCTGTGCGTTCGCACAGAAGCGTTCGAGTAGCATTGCTGTGGCATTGCCAGCTCATGTTGAGGGATGACGAGCTGTTGCACTCAGGCACAGGAGTTGTGCCCTACATAAGCAAAAGGTAAACGAGTTGGGGGCTAGTTCTGGCTTAGGCTCGGGCTGCAAAAGGTTATGGGCTCGTAAACGTGGCGTGCCTCGGTAGCTCATGCAGCTGCAACCACAGCTCTGCGTCCTCATCGTGCAACATGCTAGGAGGCAGTTGAGACACATAGAGCTGCTCACCACATGCCAGCCACTTGGAGTTGTTTGCTGCACCCGGGAGGAACTGTTGCTGGCGTTGCTTTCCTGACGCGAGCAATGGAAGTTCCAGGCTGCGTGAAGAAGGCCACGCTTTCTTGGTGTGAACATTGCTTCCGCACGCCTTCACGAACGCGAGCTTTGACAGCCTGCCGCTGCCGCTTCTGGACGAGCAGCGCTTCTACCTGCAGCAGAGCAAGCACACACCCCGCACAGGTTGCACGCAACGGCCAGCCATGGCCAGCCTGTCCCTCCAATGTTGTTGGCGCATCCTTCTTCTTCACATCCTGCAGCATGGCAGCCTGAGCCTTCTTGAACAACCTGATTCCGTCTCCACTAGCTCCAGCCCAGAGCACACCTGCTGTTGCTGAGCTGCACAGGCCTTCAACTCTGCTTCCGGAACTTTCAACATTTGGTTTTGCCTTCCAGCTGCAATGAGAAGGATAGCTTGCCAATACGGAAAGAATTGCACATCCTGTGGGCTCTTTGGGCTTCCCGACGTCTCTGGAGGTTCATAGCCCTTGTGCCGCAAAACCCGTGCAGTCTCCTCTTGCAGAGCGGAGAGAAGATAGCCTCATGACAGGCTTGGAGCCTAGGACATTCAAGACATTTCTGCTTCCTGACAATGGCAGGTGTTCATGTCAGAAACAGCAATGATAAGCAGCCAAAGAGGCAACATACAAGCAGGCATGTGTTTCCAAACTGAGCCTACAAGCTGATACGAAATACCTGTTTGATGGATTCAATTGATAGCTATTTTCCAAAACCTGCAGGTCTTCTGCAGCGAAAAGAGTCAAGAACATGTCCCATTTGTAATTTGGTTGCTTCAGTCACGAGGAAGCGCCCCACCCCACCTTGGCCAAATGTCTTCAACTGCTGCCAGGCCGCGTTCCTCGAAGTCACGTCGCGAGGGAACCTCTTCGCCGTCCAAACCCTCTCCATCCGCAAAGAGTTCCTGAATGCCCGTGGAGATTAGATCTGAATACTCATCTAAATGGTAGGTCGTGGCAAAATGTGTCAACTGCTTTGCCTGGTGATGGGCACTTAAAGTGTATGGCAGCAGAAGTCTTGGCGGCCCTGGCTACTACAAGCCCAAGCTGTGTGTCTTTACCGAGTATATCCGAGTATCATCATATGCTGCCTTGGCCTTGTCCCTCTGCTCGTCTAGAAACATGTCTGCCTCAGCTGGGGTTGTGGACGGCAAGCTGAGGCCGAGCCTTGCAAGTGAAAGGCAGGTGCTGGCAATACCTCTGCCACGGCGAACTGACCATTTCTGACAGAATTCTGACGCTGCCAAGATGCAATTGAGTCCTTGCTGTCTCCGGAAACGAAGTTGTTGAGCAAAGTCTCCTTGCAAACAGATCTAAGAGGGTGGCATTTAGAACGGTCACCAGTCGACCAGATTTGCAGTGACCATTGCATACTGCGAGTTGCTATTGCTGCTTGCCGGCGATATCTTAGCTCAAGATTTGTGAATGGGCGGTCCGGATCTTCTCCCCATCGTTCTGAGCCATGCCAAGCTGACCATAAGCCTCACACACTGATTTATGGACGTGAAGGTGTTGGAAGCTAATTAACCTTTGCTACGTGGTCCTTTTTAAGGAAACCGAATGGCACAGAGCGTGACAGGCAGGAATGATGCGCCAAGCATGTGTGCGGCTGAAGCACCTATAAACACACCGATGCAGGCCGCTACCAGGACCGTCAGCAGCTCAATGGATGCAAGAGCCATGGCCCCAGCTCATTTATGTTCTACAGGAAAGCCTGCGGTAGAGGTGTGGGCTCGTACACAATGCGCCGCTCAAAACCAATGCAACGACAACAGGTTTGTTGGGTTGGCATGCTGGATTTTGAGTAGTTCTCGGAAGCTGTCTGATGGAGGCTGTAAGCGTCTTTCTTTCACATGCTTGTCTGCGCATCGACTCGTGTAATCAGAGTCAGCTACAAGTGGCCTTAGGTTGAGATGGTGCAGTGGCATGCAATTGTGGAGATAAAAGAAGCTCGAGCCAGCGCGGCTAGCACACGTCACTTATAGCGTCATAGTACAAGACAGTGTCCTCCAGTTGGGCCATGTCAAGATTGCGAGAGCTCAAGCATACCCACTGCCGCGTGCAGTGATTCCAAAGTCATATGCAGTACCAATGGTGCGCGCAATCCGTACCTAAGGATACTTCTGACATTTCCAACATCAACCTGGAGCGCATGTCCGCATCCTCGCAGAGCCGCACTACAAAAGCTTTTGACCGCAAGCTATTAACAAGACTCAGGGCATATTTGGGGACGCTGAATTGCTGACACTTGGTAACAGTGTAACGGCACGACCTCGCCCATGATATTCATGTTACTATAAGGTGAATCTTTAATGAGCCCCTTCAAAAACACTCTTGAAGCCACGCAAAGCCACCAGCACTTGTAGTCTCAGACTCAGCAACGGCAGGGCCTCGACCGCCACCCTTGCCGCCCTTGCCTTTTGAATCGCCTCATGCCAGTTGGTCCATTGGGTAGGAGCGCCTTGCTAGAACCATTTTACGTGTAGGGATTGCAGAAGCTCAGTAATTGCAGAGTCTGAAAAGGAGTAATTGGCTTTCGCGGTGGTGGGTCATTCTAGATCCAAGCTCCAATGTGCTATGTGAACGTGGAGGCAAGGAGATCAGCTATTTCACGTGATATTTGCCATGTACTGATTGTGATGCTGCCATAGCACTTGTGGCGTGTTCTGGAGTTTGGGCCCTACTCGTGGTCCCCCTTCTTGAACTTTTTGCTGGCTTCAGCCTTGAGAGCCTGCTGTTTACAATTGCTCCCGCTGCCATGACTACGGTTCTTGCAGTGGCGGAAGTCACAGGGTTGGTTAATAGTAATAATAACAGTAGCAATGGCAGCAGCAGTGGTCGCTGTAGTAGTGGTACCGTCAGCGATGGCAGTGGTGGCAATGCTTTGGATCACGGTGCTCCCAGGCATTTACGTTGCAGCACATGAAGATAGAGCATACAAAAGCTAGAGTACCCCAATTACTGCAAGCAATGAAGGATAAGGAGAAAAAGCATGAGGGGAGGGCGGGGGGAGGCACCCCCCACCCTGCCCTCCCTACTTTCACCTACAAGGCCATTTTCGGGATGCATATTGGAGAATGCCGTGTTAGAGGGATAACAATCGCAGAGGGGAGAGGGGGGTTGCACCCGTTTATCCGAAACAAAATGGTCCTCGGTAACTTTCTGAGACTGACCCACCAAGAGAACGACAACCACCGCCAGCTCCCAAACAGCCAGCTCTCACAACAAAGTAAACAGCCTTAAGAACGCCATCGTAGCACTACCGGCAAGAACGAATAGCATTCTTAAAATCATGGAAAGAAACAGCGACGGTCTAACCTCGAGTTCGCGGCCTTTGTTGTTGCCTCCTCCAGGCATGGGTCCTTTGGTCGCTGGAGCCTTCCCCGCATGAGGCTGAAATCTTATGAGTACGGGTAGTGTTTTCCACTTGGTCATGTGCCAAATTAGAACATACACATTCTAGGCGCACCATGTTGTTAGAACACATCCACCGCAACGATTCTGAAGGTGCTTGTAGCGCACTGGCCTGATTGGGCTTTCCATCCTTGCTCTCATCGCCGGGCTTGCCACCTTCCCCCTTGGGCCTGAGAGCGGAGATCCGGCTCATTAACATAGCATGATGGGCGCTGGGTTGTCTTCAGAGATACAACGATTTCATCTCTTCATGGTCTTCGCTGCTCGCGTTCCAATGCTAGGCACCCAGCCCCTTCTCGCCTTTCTTGCCTTTTCCTCAGTCAGAAGGATACAGCAGCTAGGGATGTGAGCTGCTACCGCTTTGTACGATTTTAGTGCATAGGCGTCTGGTCTCAGGCCGTCTTTTCACCAAGCACAGAAATTCAACAAGCCGATGTGTGACTACAGGCCTTCAGAAGCTCAACTCAAGCGACGAAATGAAGAGCATCTGACAGTTCTGTACACCATTCACCTACGAAGATGAACTATAAAGATCCACTTAGCAATTTGACGCTTCTACGCACTACTCCGTTGAGGCCGGTGCCCTTGCCTTTGCCTTTAAAGAACATGAAGTTGGGCGGGCCTGTGAGAAGCACGGAAGGTAAATCTAGACTCAGAAGGCCACACACTCCACGCCCCCAGGTCCCAACAACAGCGTGCCTTTCCAAACATAGCATTTCTCTGCTCCCAAGCCCTGCTCATCCTGACGCCATCTGCCAACACGTCTGCCAACTGTTGACCACTGAAACACGTCACGGCACGTTGCGTCTTAGTTCGCAGTTTGCCACACGCAGCACAAGGCGAGTCCTCAAACACTTGGAACTGCACGAACGTGCCGACCATCAAGTCTTTCGCATTGGCCTTGGCTCTGCCAAATGCCTTTCCTGAGACTAAAATATAGGCATAGGGGACTAGCTTGACGGCTTTGCCTAGCTTGCAGACTCATGCCTTTGCACGTGGTGCAAGATCACAAGCTGGGCGCGTGGGCAAGGTCAGTTCGGCTGATGAAAATCCGCCCCTGCCTCATTGAAGCCTGACAGAACTCTAGATCGACCCCTCGACATATCATAAATATCGCGGCATGCACGCTTGCCTGGCGCTCTTTCACACGCACACTGGCCCTGGATCTGCAAACATGGTATGATCATGCCGTGCCGGCCTTGGGATGGCGGATCGGCTCCACAGGCATAATCCAGCCATAGTTTCCCTGCAGAAGTGCTCATTTGATTTCACAGCCAAACATCTCAACTGTCTCTGTGTGTCAGCTCCTTTTCTGTGATCCAGGCTATGCAAAGCACAGGGCCAAGGGCCGCACTCGCCAGTCCAAGACCTGCAAAAAGCGGAGCCGGGTTCCTGCCCTTTCGACATCTGAATGGCAACTTTTCACCACCTGCCCAAGATGCTGGTGAGTAGACACACGCTGACGAGGCAAGGTAGGACCTGGACAAGTCTGCTTACCCACGCCAAAGGGCAAATCAGCAACTTTTGCTTGCAATCACCGAAACAAGGCTTTCGAGAAGTACCGCTCTAAGAGTCTCCCTGAGTCAAGGCCCAAGCCGCCAGGCTGTTTCTCCTTCTTTTCCTGAAGATACTCTGAAGATCTTTATTTGGGGTGGCTGCATGTGTGATTGCGCTCCGAGGAAAGGCTTAACCAGTTGCGGGGAGCTGTAGGACACTACTTCTGCTCAAGCCAAACCTTCCACAACTTTTGACCAACTCAATGCATCGAACTGGCCAGCCCTCGCATCAAATGAATGATGACAACGGGCTACAGCGCGCTCGGACGAGACAACACTTCTGATTGAAATCACCGCCTTCTGGAGAATCACTAAACAGGATTAAGCATGTTTCTGCCGTGATCCATGAATTCCTCTGGCCTGGTCCTCTCCTCCTGCATCCGGGGCCCTGTTTGCAGGTGGCAAACAAATGCTCCACCTACTGCCCATGCCGTGGAAGTCAGGCAGTGACTCCATCCGCTACTCGCTGAATTGGCAGGACGCAGCATCACTCAGCATCCTTTGGAACTAGGCCAAGTGCTCTGGAGCAGCGGCTGGTACCTCTTCGCCTCAAGCTCACAGCACTACAAATCGTGCTGGCAAATGCCTGGGTCCTGGGTATGACCCGACCCCTGAACTCTGGAACAGGCTTAGCGTACCCAACTGATGCCTGAATTGGCGTATACCTCCGTCTAAGAAGCCATGAAGTATATCTCTGAAGCCCAACCCTACGGATCCACTTTCAGACCGATTCGTCGGCTGGATTCAGCCGCTGGATGTCTCAACAGCAAGCTCAGCTACAGTAAGTGCCCGGCTTGCCATGACTGCTGAAACTGCTTGTCTCGACTCTCTGCAAAATCCGGAGGGGCGCCAAACAATGTGCAATGGCGGGATATAAACCGTGTTACAAGTTGGGATGTAGCGAGGTCCTTGCTTCGAACGCTGAGTATGGAAGTGTTGCTGGCGAGGCCTTGAATTGAAGTCATGAGAGCGTGCGACATGGGAGAGGAGACCATCTCGGTGCGAGAGAGCTCCTTGAGCCATACGAGCCACAGTGTACGCCCGCACATGTTCAGGACTGGCTTTGGTCAGTCAGACTGCTTGTTGCGCATTAAAAATAGTGGCACTCTCCCCAGTTCCAAGACTTCCGCATCCAGAGCTGACAACTTTCTCTGCCGTGTGAATCTTTCTGTGGCAGTAGCTCAATGGCAATCGATAGAAGCGATAGAGGCTGAACCATTTTGTAAATCGATCATGCCCACCACACAGAAATCTCAAACACGTTGGGGCTTCGAAGGACAAGATACATCTGGAATCTAGATACCAATTTCGAGTATAAGATTGCATTGAGATTGCGAGTGTGGGCCTGCGCCTGCACTGCGGTGGGACCCGCAGATCGGAGGTGATGCGGTGCTTGCGGATTGCATCCACCCACATCTCTAATAACAAGTTCAAATAATCGAATGGCTTTCGCGAGCTCATTCGAGGTTTTGGTGTATCAAGCGTAACAGTTAACACCTGACATGGCTGCTTCAATCTTAATGCTACGACATTGGTGCAAGTTGAAACCAGCTGTCCCTCTTCAGTAGCACTGCTCGAGAATCACATGTCAAGATGTGCACCTTCGCAGCCTAGCCAGGATGTCTGGTTTTCAGAGCTACCAGGATCAGCGCAGAGAGCAGCTGCGTAAAATCAGAAACCAGTTCGAACAGCAGCCTGTAGCCCCATCTGGGCTGAAGCCTCAACGCCTGGAGAGGCGACGGGTGTTGAAACGGCCACTGGCAGGATGCGATTCTTTTTGATCAAGGGCGCCTTCCTGCACTGGCGAAGCCCCTGGACGAGAGAGAGAAAGAGGGTGGCGAAACAGAATGGCAGCGTGACTGGATTACTACCAAAGGTTACTCATAGCGGGCGCAGCAGTTGCAGCTTATAAGAAAGACCTCCAGCCTAAACTTCTGTTATCGAAGTGAGCTCTCAATGTCCCTGAGGGTCGCCCCAGCCGTGTGGAAGACTACACCAGCCTCAACTGTGCCAAAGCACATGCATGGTCACGTCCAGCCCTCCATGTCCAGAATCGACTTCAAACTATCAGTAGCGGTGATAGTTGCCGGCCTGCACCAGATACACAGACTCACATGTCACTTTATGACATGGAAGGTGGAGCGTCCGCAGACTCCCGGACATGGTCTAGGAGTACCAAGGTGTTCAGAATTCTCAGCCCAAAGGAACTAATTAGGCAGCTTTTGAGAACTCACGGCCAGTATTTGCTTTGCGTACAGTCTGTACCTTGTACAAGAAGCTGTCAGTTTGTCATCCAAAGGGCTGAGAGGTCTTTTGGACACAAGCAGTTCAAACAAACACTCTCCGTGGTGTCCTATGTAGCTACACTCAGCTACACAGGAGTCATGACCTGGTCTTTGCAAAACACCCGGCGCAAGCATTGTCAGATGGGTCTATGACCCACCGTCAGGTCATGTCAAGGTCTGTCTGGATTCGAGCGTTCGTTTGTTACACCTCTTGCGTCTCAGCTGCTGCGCAGCAGCGTGCTGTCAAGTGATGCGTTGATTTTTCCTTGAGTCAGACGTAGCAGCTTTGGCAGATTGAAATGAGACGCAGCTGGTCAGAAACTAGTTCGGCGGGCACCTTATGAGGCAGCGGGCGGCTCCAGTTCCCGGTAGCGGGAACAAACATATTACGTACATGCCTGTGAGCGCCATCGGGTTGAAGTGTCTACCCCGCTGTGCATCCACCCGGGGAAGCTGGCTTCCAGCCAACCAAGTCTGGCACGTGTCAAAACAGTCAGCAACTTCTCATCCTGCTGCCACTTTGGAAGCCTAGCAACTCGAGGAAATGCTGTGAGTGAATGTCAACCATCGATATCAGAGAAGTCCAAACATGTGCTGACAACTGCCGGCGTGTACTCCTCCTGGGCGACTCAGACTTTTGCAGCAGCTACAGAATTTTTCATCCTGTGCTGTGAGCAGCCATCTGACTGCTCTATTGGTTTAGCTTGTCCTGGACCAGAAAACAATTCAACATCTGGATGGCAATGGCAAAGGCCATGCTCAGTCTGATGATGCCCGGAGTGTATGGCCTTAGGGGGAGCTCATGGGCATGGCTGGACAACTTGCATTTTAGTCTCTCATGATACCTGAAAGAGTCTGTCATCTGTCAGGTCAAGTCTTGCTGCGCAAGAGTCCCTTGAATTGCCTGCCCAGACAGCTCACTTGAGACACCTGGCTAGAATATGTAACTGAAAACAAGTAGTAAAGCTCCATACGGCGAAACTGTTCTCAGAACTCCAAGCAGATCAACGCACTGGTATCTTCCGAAGTGTCTCATCAAACCCAAAGCAAGAGCTGAAGCGCTAAAGACTGCATCTGGAGGGTGGCTGCTGCTCCCTCATCATGCCCTTTATTTACACCAGGTGGAGACAAAGAACTCCATAGAATTCCATCCTACGGGACTGCACATTCGTCGCGTATCATAGCGCAGCCACAACAACTCCTGGCTGCCTGCAGCATGCACAGGCTACAGCGCTACAATCTGCGGCTGGCCAACGGCCATGAGAGCCACCGCGGGGTTTTCAAATGTATTCAACTCGTTCACATTCGTTCACATTCGTTTAGCTGAGTTGTTTGAGTCTTTTGAATGCTTGCCTTCTGGGACCACCCGCAAGGCCCTAGCCGAGCACTTCAGGTGGGTACCTGCAGGCATTCATCCTTTGCTCAGATGGCTCTCAGCGACCAACAAGCTGGAGGGGAATCTGAGGTTGAGAGCTCGGGCATCCTACTCCACCTCAGGGGTGCTGAACACCATCAGATTCCCCTTGAGCGCTTCACCTTCCCTTGGCGCTGCCGCTGTAGCACCTCTTAGGAGCTGGAGTTCGTCCACCCTCATCTCCCTCACGTCAGGAAGCTTGTGCTGGCTGCCTTGCGGCAGAAAAGCTCCGTTCCCTGTCAAGCTGCTGTGCAAGTGCTTGCAGCAAAAGCTGAGGCTGTCACCAATCCTGCCGTGAAGGGAGGCTGAGCAGCCTCACATGAAAAAAACATGCTGCAAGCATGGCAACCTGTCAATCATTTCAGCGCCCATAGGGAAATTTTCTCTATGCCTTGCTACACTGAAATACAAACTGAGCCATGACGCCCAAGCATTGAAATCTTAAGCCGCGCTGCGCCCGGTCTTGGCAAACCATGGAGATCCTGTAGGTCCGGGTATGGCCTCAGCAAGTGGCCAGCATTAGCAGCCTTGACTCAGCAATGCTCTGAGGTCTGAGCATTGGCTGGCATGCTTTTAGGGGATTGGAACCAAAATTGCAAAGCCGTCCAGACTGGAGCACTAAGCCAGCATCGTACTCATGGGAGCAGTGACAGCCCTGTACTCTGCCAGGTTCAGATTCCGCGCCTCTGGGGCATGGGCAGCGATCCTGACTGCTGCGAAGGAGGCATAAAGGCCGTCCAGGGAGGGTTCGCTAGTCCTGCGTGGCCGGGTAATCAGCCACATGCGGTTCTGCTGGGAAGGCAACACACCACATCGGAGGCATTGAGGTGCGGGCCCAATGACTGTTGCAAGCCCTGAAGGCCGGGCAGGCCTTCACGCCAGGAGCAAAACCAACCAGTTAGAAAATGTTGAACGGTTTCTTCTCGGAAGCTCTTCCAGTTGGCAGGTAAAGCCCTGCTGCACGTTCTAGGGCATTTATCCCACTCTGAGAACAGGTTCTGCTCGTCTCTGCTTTGCAGCCTTGCAGGCCGCCAAGTCCCTGCAAGCCTCAGTGGCAGGCATCAATCTATGCTATGGCGGATGATGGCTCTGTAGTACAGGAGTCGCTGTGGAATCTCGCAGGGTCCAAGGACATGTCCTGCTGCGTCCGTAGAAATTTAGATCTAGCCAACATGGTCCAAGCTTTTCTGGGATTGAGGCCCGCCAAGCTCTGGAAGTTCTGCGGCATGGAGCCCTGTCAAAGCATCTGCAAGAGCTAGGTGATTTTCCCATAACGTCGAGAAATCTCTGTAACCCCTACGCATGAAGCATTCTCTGCGCAACAGGCCAAGGTCCACAGCTGATGGAAGGAGAAATAGGGCTCGCTGCCAACTGCTGACACTTGAAGCACAGCAGAAATCAATTTTCCAAAGTCGGATGCGGCCTCCCTGGACTGCAATTATGCCCTGCGTAACTAAGTCTGAGTTGGACTCAGACGAATACCTGAGCGAAACCTCGTGCGATCCTACGCTGTGAACCTACGCTTCTTCTGCTGACTGACTTCTTACTATGGTTCAAAAGTTGTACGCCATTCAAAATTCATGACACATGAGCTGTGAACCAACCTTTGAGTCCTACGGCGACCCTCACTTCCGGCCAGACAGCTTCCGCCACTTTTCCCACTCCCACCTGAAACCAGACTTGGCCAAGAAAATTCCAGAAGAATTGTAAAGCAGATGAGCATAGCAGAGCTAAGCCTAGGCTAAGCCACTTCAGCATCCAAGGAGACTTCCATCCTGGCAGCTGCCACGGGCGCGGCTCGCGTACGTAATTGCATTCTGGGAGCGTGTAGCCTGCCAGCACGGCAAAGCAGCAAAGCAGGCGAGTTACCAAATCCATGGCTAGCAGCCAGCTGCTCTCCGAAGTTGGCACGAGAGGCAAGGGTCAACATGCTGCCAAGAAGCCGATGAGCTTGTAAGCTGGCATGAACGGGTCCTCCGTGGACCGCCGGGCCAAAAGGCCTTGCTTCACGCATGCCCGGTAGATGCCACGAAACAAACCTTGGAGCAATTTGAGGCAAGCAAAGCTGTGTGTGTGTGTGTGTGACCTGGCAGCATCAATCTGAGCAAAGTCACGATTCTTCTGCTTGGCAGCTGCATTGCGGTGCATGACACCTTGCACGGTGACTTCGTCGATGGTCTCGCCTCGGTTTTGAATATCAAGTGCAGTGAAAACATTCTTCCATTCTGCAACCTGATTTTGGTCAGCAAGAATTATTCCGGCGGACTCAAAGCATAATTGACTCTTTGGCAAGGCTGCAAGCTTCATCCAGCATCTCCTTGACCTCATCTAGCACCTTCGTCCAGAAGGATCAAGGAATCAATCCTGCAATGTATACCCTATTTAACCCATTATAGTAGTTTCCATTTTCTTTGCCATCATTCCAATATAACCACCATACGCTAATCTATACCCTATTATACTATAGTAGCTTCCATGTTCTTTTCCATTATCCCTATTAAGAGGTTGTGAGAAGGAACCTCCTGGTGGCTCGCAGGCTGCCGGCTGCCAAACTCCAGCTCCACACTGTAACGCAGGACCTTTTTCATTGCCTTCTTGTAGCGATTCCTGAGATGTTAGGCATTCTATGGACATGACAGGCTTTTCCAGGCCGCTTCTTCCTAATTACTTTCCCGAACCCCTGGCACTCGGCATTGATTTGGGCGGCGGTCGAAACAAAACCATGACGCAACCCCTGAAGTTTGAAGTGGGTTTGTGGTTTCGTGAAGGAGGGGACGGGGTTGGAAGAGCCCCACGAGCTTCTGCAAACTCTTCCCCCCCCATCCACCGTAGCTCACCTCCAACCCAAATTTTTGCCAAGGGGCTTCATGAAGATGTTGTAGGCGCGGTTTCTAAGGTTTCGCCTGGCTCGGTCTTCGTAGTAGCGCCATCCTGAGGTCAAGTTGCACAATCTTGCAAGCAGGTGGTCCTTGGGTCATGCAGTCTTTCATGCCCACATCCATTATCAACTTCAAAGTTTCAACCACAGGATGGACGTGATGAAGGCCTTTCTGTGCATCCCCTATGCACTGTATTCTAATACCACAGGACCTTAGTCTTGGTGCCCACCCAGCAAGCGGATTGCAGTAGCTATACTAGGGCTGGCAGAGTCTCATGATTTTTGATCGCCAAGCATCGGCGGAAGTAGAGGGTATGGCAGCTGTAGAGGCTCTGCCTGCAGGGATCACAGCATCAGTCGGTTTTGCGCTTCCAGTCATGAAGACAGCCTCTCTTCCCTTTTTCGAGGCGTGGACTGGGTATGCTGCCATCCATTTCTATTGCAAATTACCGTGGTGCACGTTCAGTGGATTACGGAAGTTGCGTTCCTAGAGCAATTTCTCACCTTCAAAGCAACTAGCCATCATGTTAGGGGAACCCGGTGGCCGGTTGATGTTTCATGTAATTTAGCATAATGTCAGTGTAGCCGTGGCTGATTGAAGTTCCGGTTGTGCTTGCAGAATACTGCAAGCGCCAAGCTCGAGTTACAACGCGTCAGATTTCATAGGTGTACTGTCGTACCCCGCATCATCTATACAAATGCCTCCCTTGCAGTCCTGTTGTGTATTTTTCACAATATCAAGAAAGTGCCCCACAAGCAAGCCCGAGCAGGCCAAGAACCTCATTCCTGAACGTGCCGGTGCGCCTAGCCACGCTGCCACTGGACTTTATCGGCCTACCTTGGCAGAAGCCCATGCGCTGAGAGCCGATCATATGATCGGGAGCTCATGAAGAACAGAAGCCCTCAGCAGGATCTCAGACTAAGTGTACTGGCCTAATGTAACCTGTCGGGCTAGCAAAGGAGGCCCAAGCATCTACGTTGGAGAGATGGCATGAGCCGAACAAGGGGGTGACCTCACGAGCACTTCGGCGGCTGAAGTGACCGCCTGGCCTGGAGGCTGGTGTGCCACGGAATCAATAACGACAGGATACCAGGCCCTCCAGACATGGGGCCCACCTGACCCATTTTTGGTGCCGAGAAAGATTTTGGGAGCTCAAAATGCCTCTTGCTTTTTTCTTCCTTGTTTCCTGTTGTGAGGAAATTTCACGCGAGAGCTCACTTTCGAGGCAAAATCTGAGGAGACTCCACGCCAGAGCTTGCTTTTCAGCAAAAATGCAAGGACGCTCCCTCCATTTCAGCAAAAATGTGGGGACTCTCCACGCCAGTGCTTGCTTGTGCACAAAAGAGTGAGGATGCTCCATGCGAGAGGCGAAATGTGGGACACCCCACGCGGGAGGTGACCAGCCCAGAAGCAGTAGAAATCATTGTAGCATGAGGAATATTCACGATAGCAATAAAAGTATTAGTGAGACAACTAATTGCAGGATGCTCCACGCCAGAGCTCGATTTCCCCAGCTTAGCAGCAGCAGGGATCATAGCAAGAAGACAAATAATGCTAATCACATATAACGGTAAGTACTAGTAAGAGTAATAACAACAAAAATATTCAAAACCAAAGCAACAAATGATAGCACAAGGATGGATCTAAAAAAATAAGTTAGTACTGACAATGGAAAAAATAAGAGCAGTAATAACAGAGAAAGTAGGAATAATACTAATGATGGCAGATGATAGTAAAGAGAGTAACAACAGTAGTAATAGCAATATGTTTCATAATATAAAAAATACCAGTAGTACTAACAGTGATAATACTAGTAATACTAATAGCAACAATGACAAGCATAATAAGCACAGTGAGAAAATAGGTAATTTTAATCGCAATAACCGTATTAATACAATGATCAGAATAGCAAAAGTAATGATAATAAGATAGAATGATATTAATGCTAAAAAAGAATACCAACAAATACCACAATGAAAATAATCATAAAGCTCTAATAATAGCACTAGCTGTCTTGCAGCAATTTTGCAGGGTTGCATGACCCAAAAGGGGGGAGATACCCCCCACTATTTTCAAACACAAAGCTCGCAGACCAGGTCTTAGAAGGATCAATATGGGTCTTACAGCAATTCCTGTAGGGTTGCACATGTAAAAATGCCGGCGGTTGGGGGGGTAGCCCCCCAAGGCCAGGACCAAACAAGAGGAACAAAAAAACATGCGCCCTCCGTTCAATACAAGAGGATATTATATGCTCTGAGAGAGACGTCATTCACTGTATCTGACACCAAAAGCTCAACGGCCCCTTCCATCCCACAATTCCTGTTCAAAAGGTCCAGCCAGAATGCAAGTTCGGGGCGGAGGTGTTTTTTTTTCCTAACGTTGGCTCCGGCTGTCTTTTTTCCTAACGTTGGCTCCACTCGGGGG